TGTAAAGTATCGTAGTGTGGTTTCTGATGGATTTCAAATAGTAATGGATCGAATTGATCTTTCTAGCAGTGTTGCGCACGACTCTATTTCCTTTTTAAAGGACTTGTTAATAACTTTTGACTGTCTCTTTTCTATTTCGGAAGATGATCATGCGAAACATATCACTTTTCCTGTTCTAGAATTGGGTTTAAATGTCTTGAATCATCTAAAACATGACGAGAGCCGTGAAGTTGAATATATTTGTCGTCAGTTTACTGAAATATGTACGTGGCATTTTTCATCTTGTCAAGTGACAGATGCGAAGGCTGCCATGAACTTTATCAACTTTGTTCTGTCGAAATGCAGCAATGTTACGTTGTCGAAAAGCGTTTCTTTTGTCGATGAAATGTATTTTCTGATCCTTGAAAAGAGTTTACACTTCTTAAGGCAAATCAGTGGACCGGACATTATTCCTCATGATAACTCGCTTTCATATATCGACTTTCGTCCATTGAATACGTGGTTGAGTCATTATCTTACAGAATGCAGTGATCATTCTGAGTTGACTATTGAGGAAATCAAAGTTCGTTGTCTATTTTATCTTATTTTGTCTGAGGTTTTAGCGTTGCGTTCTCGTTTTTCAGGACTCGAATCGTTTGGGGACCAAGTTTGCTTAGACGAGATTCTTCGTAATTTAGAAATGAGCTGGAAGACTTTCTTTGATCTGTTGTCATCAAAACAGAATGACTTGAGTGATTTATCTTACAGTGCTTGTCTTAAGAAATACACCTTTGCAATTATGAAACTTTGCATAGAGATACTTGAGTTGCAAACTCGACCTCATTATGAAGAACGAAGGCGACTAGTATCAAGAAATTTACAATACTGTCTTTATATTTCTCTCGTTCTGGGTATGGAAGAGCATATTGATAAGTGTCTTCAAAAAGTTGTAAATATCTTGGCCTCGTTGGATTGTTTCTCTGCCAGTTCTGAGTCATTTGGTCCATTGAAAGGAATACATTGTTTTTCATGTTTGAGGAGCTCAACCAGTTGGAAGCTACGTTCTTTGGAATTAAGTTTTCAATGTTCAGGACTGTGTAATATAGTCACGTTGCTCATTTCAGAGAAATTCGTGCAAAGCGAAAACTTTTCCTTCATTATTTGGGGTCGACTTATTTCATATTTGCTTAAAAGTTTTTGGTGCAATTATTTAAGTTGCGATGATCCAACATCTTACCACATGGAGGTTTTAGTTGTTATTTTATTGGACAGCTTAATAAGTTGGACTTCGCCAAAACTTTTACAGGATTTCTGCTACAAGCCGACAAGCATCATCGATTTTCAAACTGCTGTAAGGCTGTCCATTGACTCTCATGAAGAAACTGAACTGGAAAGCTTTGAAGTTTTGTTTCGAGTTGCTTCTGAACATAGTCTGCAACAAATTAGTTGTGACAAAGTCGTTTCATGGTTTCTCAGATTATTTAGAGATCGTCTTATGGTTATCGGATTTCACCGCCTCCTTAATGACTCTTTTGAAATTTATGTTTGGCAAAGTCTCTTTCAAAGCAACACAAAAGACTTGTGGAATATTGTGGCTTCGAATGTCTTGAGAATGCTACTAGTGAGGAATGATTTTCAGAGTGTAGAGTTTCTCGCTAACCAGTGTGGACGAAGCCTATGTTTACTTATCAAAGATAATCTAGGAAGTATTGTAGCCACTTATCTCTATCAGCGAACTATTTTAGAGGCCAACGAGTCGACTCAGTTTATACAAGAGTCTTTAATACGACTTGAGACTTGTCTCGAGTTTTGTTGCAAGGTATGAACTGCAAGCTGTCTTTTCTTGGCTAACCAGATTTCAGATAATTGATTGTCCTTCTTGTTCACAACTTTTTTTGTCCTGTAAGATTTCTGCTACCAAATTCTTAGTCCAACGTTTGTGTAAGCCAGCCTCAGAGCTAATCTTCTTGGAGAAATCACTTGATAGCTTGGCAAAATTGACAGGACATTGCTCAAGTTGTAGTCTTATCTCAGATTGCTTCCTTGCACTTATTGACGACTTGAATCAAAGAATATTTTTGCGCTTAAAGTACAGTTTATTGACAAGAGCCAGATCCCTCAAATGTTTACAGCGACTGTTTACTTTTATCTCATCTGAGCTGCATCTTTTCATTCCAAAAATACTTGCTTCTCTCAAGCTGGTCTTAGAACTTGAAGAGGATTTGATCCCTGTTGGTATCGAAACTTGGATATCCTTTTTGTCTAATGTGGATCCTTTACATGCCGGTAAGTGTGAAACGATTTGTTCTTTGGATATTTTTATTTTCTTAAGGTTCCCATGTTTTAACTATCCTTTCCGTTTTAAATCCATTCGTACCTTCATTTCCTGAACAACTGGGCCCTTCTCTTGCCAGACTTGTGAGTCAATGCAACTTTAATCTATTTTTGATTATCGATGAATCATATATTCCTATTGAATTGGTACAGTACGCATGTTTTAAATGGAAGTCTAGTAATTTTGTTTTAGGAAACTCAACCATGTTTTGGAGACTTTTTTAAGAACTTGAGAATTGCAAGAGAGAGCTTATCACTTCAACAGCAAATGGATGTACTGGTTAGTTTTATTGAGTCACCAGAAGTGTCAACAGTGAAGTATGCGGTATTGTCCCGTCTTCAAAAACTAGTTACTGTGAACCGCAAACAGATAACAGAAACACTGACACGAGATTTGAAAATGCGTTCGAGTATTAGTGCTATCATTTCAAATATATTTTTATCTTTAAAAAGCTTAGACAGAAAATGTTGTATATTAGCAGCAGATATTCTTGGGGATTTGGGAGCGATCGATCCTGTATATTTGATGGGAGATATTACTCCTGCTGAAACTGCCAGATATATGTCATGTAGACTTTCAAATAATAAGAGTGCTAGTTTAGAAAGCTTTTTGCAAGTCCTTCTTTGTCATTATCTGATTCCGTGCTTAAAAGGGGGTGAAAAGTCTGGAACTGGACTCCATCAGAACGTTGTTGGATTTGCATTGCAAGAGTTGATAAGGATCTATATTAATGAATGCCACCAATCATCAGCGAAAGGTACACATGACTTGGAGACTTTCTATTCAAGTGAACTCTATTTATCACTGACACAAGTTCATCGAGAGCTTCTTATTCCTTATATTCACTCGAGTTACAGTGTTGTACAGACAGGACACAAGAAGGAATCTTTGAAACTAGACGAAATAATTGATTCTAAAGGTTATAGCACAGATGCATTGGATCTATGGATATCCAACCTTTGTATTCTGTTAGTTGATACAGAGTGTTTTCTGAATACCAAGTCGCCATGGTCAAGAGTCCTTCAAGTTTGTAGAAATGTTTATCGGTTGCATCCTCAAATCGCGAGATTTGTCTTTCCGTATATTCTACGTCAATTTTTGGAGAATCTTTCAGACAGGGAAGCCAGTCAAAGTGTTTTGGATTTTATTGACTCCCAGCTATCTTGTGCCTTGGAGCGAGGAAGTATTTTTGCATCTTGGGTTCTTGGTCTAGTAGAAGAGTACCGACTCATAGAAGAGAACGTGGCAGAACAAGAGAAAGTATATCGTCTGGAGAAGATTTGTTCTCGACTGAAAGCTTTTGGTGGAGAACATTCATCTTTTCAAAGGAATGTTCTGTATACGTTTCTTAAGAGTATAAATGATGTAGACCTCGCTAAAGCCGCTTTGAAGATTGGATCCTATCATAGAGCTGTCTTTTATATAGAAGAACATTTACGACACTTAATGAACAGTGAAAGCTCGGAAAATGCCACTTTTTTAGTTAGGTCTCTGCAGGATGCTCATAATGCCATTGGCGACAAGGATTCTTTATTAGGTCTTTTGGTGCTACAGAAAAAGAAACTTTCGAACCAGCTGAGTCTGCAAGAACGAATCTTGGAAGCTGAGTCTCTAGAAAACATAGATGAAGTCAATGCTTTATATAGTGAAGCATTATCTTCGAAATGTCTTGCAGGTCTCGAAATTTCTTATGTGAAACATCTCCTCAAATTAAACTTGACAGAATTTGCCAAGTTCTTTGCTAGGAAATTCTCACCAGACCTCGAAGGAACAAAGCGAGAACAAGTAAGTTCTATTTTACTTTTTTTTCAAGTATCAATCATATCATAGCTAGATGAGAGCCTTGCATTGTGCTGCTGCTTGGAGATTGTCGGAGTGGTTTGAAATAGATTCATTGGATTCCTATTCACAGATTACGGGAGACGAAGTCGGCGAAATTTGTATTGCTGCCTATCTGAATTCGTTGTCATCGCCCAAGCATGCCACTCATGTCAATAACTTGGCTAAGGAAAAGATAATTAAAAGCATGTCGGACCCTTCATTAGGGAGTTACGAGAAATCTTACAAATTTTGCGTATATTTAAGCATTTTGCGTGAAATAGAGTGGATAAAAGAGATTTTAGGGAATTCGGAGAAATGCAGAGACATTGAGAAGGTCTCTCTTCTCCATCAGGAGTTAACACTGCGGTTGAGAAGGACAGTTCCTGACGTTTCAGTGAGAGAACCAATTGTAGAAGCTCGAAGCGTTTGTTACGCTTTTTTTGGTGACTATTACTATGCCATAAATGCCATGATGGAACTTGCCAAGCTTGAAAAAGAAAATGGAAGCCTTCATGCTGCATATTTGAATGTGATTCGATCGGAAAACATGTTTTATTCTTTGCAAAACAATAAGGACATATCTCTCTTATCGGAAATTCAATTGGAAAAGGCAGATATTTATAAGGAGAAAGGAAACTTATTTAGTGCTATAGAAACCTTAGAAAGCGTTGTTCAGGCGTTAGAGAGTCGATCTCATCAAAGTAGACAAGAAAATCTGTTCAGTACTGAAACGCAACTCGCTAGAGCATTGGTTGCTTTAGGCAATGTGTCCGAAATTTCTCACACTTGTACGACGGAAGTCATTGCTTCCTATTACCGAAAAGCTGTGAATCTGGCAGCGAACTTTCAAGACGGTTTTTATTATCTAGCCCGCTTCTACGACCGTATGTTGCAGGAGTCAACTTCTGGTTTGGTTGAAGATGTAGAGAAACATAGGAAACAATCCTTGTGCGATAAGAATACATCGCAAAATATAGTACAGTGTCTTTCTGTTGCTTTAGAAAACTATACTCGTACGATGGAACTTGGAGGCAAATACATTTTCGAATCTCTTCCAAGGCTGTTGACTCTTTGGTTCAATTTTGAACATCAAGCTTGTGTGGATAAATCAACTCCGGCTTGCTCTTTCTCTGAAGACGAAATGGCTACAATTAGAAGCAACACGGAACGAGCGTTTGAAAACCTGCCAGTCTGGCAATGGACAACATGCATCTCCCAAATTTTGAGCAGAATTTCTCATCCAAGTGCTTTTGTTCGCAAAAATTTAGTGCAACTCACAGCGCGATTGACAGTTTCGTATTGTGGTCGCATGATTTGGTATCTGGCACCTGTTATAAACGGAAAGAATGATATACGAAGAAAAACTGGTGAAAAAATAGTGTCTGTTGCTGAAGAGCTCGGAGATCAAAATATGTGCAAGACCTTGAGGTGCGGACTTGCCTTTATTCAAGAACTCTCCAAAATCTGCCTTCAGGTATGTTACTAGCAATCTGCTCTATGTGACACGAGTTAAAATTGCTTCCAAAGAGTACGCCAAAGCACGTGAAGAAACTATCCTTTTCGAGCAATTTTGAAGCTTTTAAGAAAATGCTTCCTTGTAATCAAGTCGTAATTCCCACCAAAAAAGCTATTATGATTAGTTATGACGAAAGTTTGACAGATAGGAATGAGAGCTCTGAATCGGCTGCTTGGAGTCCATGGAATGAAGAGTTACCTACCGTTTACGGAGTAGAAGATGATATCATCTTGATGAACTCGTTGATGAAGCCTAAGCGTATATGCTTAGTAGGATCTGATGGAAATCAATATTATTTCTTATGCAAGAAAGAAGACTCCGGTGACATGCGAAAGGATTCGAGGCTCATGGAGTATGTTGAAGCCTATTTACGATGCCCCATTCTAAACGATACTAGGTTTGCCTCAGTTATCAATCGCCTTCTTCGAAATAATCAACGTTCTCGTTCAAGGGAGCTCATACTAAGGACATATGCCGTTCTACCTCTTAGTGAAGAGTGTGGAGTAATAGAATGGCTATCGAATCTTGCTCCACTGAGAGGAATCGTATTCCATCTGTACAACATCTTTAAAATTCCGATTTCTTTGGGAGAGATTAAGGAGCAATATGAAAAGCGAACCTGTACTACTTTGGAATTTTATCGTGAGTGGTTGCTTGCCCGTTTTCCTGCCCTTCTACGACACTTTTTTGTTGCTTGCTTTCTTGACCCTAGCGAATGGTTTGTGGCTAAGAAGAGATTTACATATTCTTGTGCCGTATGGAGTATGATAGGCTATATCGTAGGACTTGGTGACAGACACGGTGAAAATATCTTAATAGACATGACTTCAGGAGATTGTATCCATGTAGATTTCGCTTGCATGTTCGACAAAGGACTGACGCTTAAAGTTCCGGAAGTAGTTCCATTTCGTCTCACTCCTAATATGTTAGATGCAATGGGTCCTGCTGGTCATGAAGGTTCGTTTCGAGTGGCAGCGCAAATCACTATGAGCATTGCTCGAGCAAACAGAGACTGTCTTATGTCCGTATTAGAAACATTTCTTTACGATCCTCTTGTAGAGTGGGAGAAGAGCGGAAGTACTAGACACCACAGCAACAAAGGCAAGGAAAATATTCCAGTAGAAAGGTCAGCTTTGAAACCGAATGCTCATGCTTTGAAGGCACGACAGAACATTGACGAAAAATTGCAAGGCATTGTGAAAGATAGTAGATCACCGCTTTCTATACAAGGCCAAGTGCAACGTTTAATACTTGAAGCTACCAATGAGGAAAATTTAGCAAACATGTATCTTTGGTGGATGGCTTGGATTTAATCTTGTGCCGTGACAACACGTGGCACCGCATTCAGTTAGCGATCGTTTCGGAGGGGAAGCGTTTGTATCGTTGAAGAGCATTTTTCTTCTCGATGTCGCACTATTTATTCCCTAGTCGTGGTGATATGCCCAACAGTCGACCAAATGTTGTCATGTTTAGACGGATCATTTTTACAAGCCTCGCTTTTACTTTTCTAACAGTACTATGTTTTATAACTTTGACAGTAAATGGAACACTAAATATTTGGTTTTCTCGAAGTGGAAGTACCTCTGAAAGTCTGTTTTCGTTGTCCTCGTTTGATAGCGATATCCACTTTGAAAACTTGAGGTTAAGAAGATCTACATCTAAGCTTGATGTAAGAATCGCATACTTCATTCAGGTCTCAACGTCCAATTTGCACTTGTTTCCGAGGTTGCTCTGTAACTTATACGATACGGAACACGTTTATGCCGTTCATTTTGATTGTCCTTGTAACCAATCTGCTGTGGATAGTATCGTCAAAGCGATAGAACTAGGCAACTTCCCTAATATTCATATTATCCCACATGAGACTCTAACATATTCAGGTAAAATAGGCTTGTATAGGACAAGAAAATAATTTATACAACTGACTAGGGATATCGCTTGTACTGAATACTTTATCAGCCATGACGGTCCTTTTGAAATATCCTGCAGGAACTTCGAACCAGAAAGAATGGGATTTCTTTATAAACTTGAGTGGTTCAGACTATCCTTTGCTGACTCCTTGTGACCAGGCGAAGGTGCTTGGAGAAGCTCTGAGCATGATTCACAACTCGACGATCAATTTTCTTCAAATGTTTGAACACCATGATTCAGATTACAGAAGATCGCTTTTATATTTGGACCCTGCTTTAACTATGAATAGCCTCGTCTCTGAAAACTGCAAGGAGAGAGAGGCGTTGAAACCTGTTCAAGTACATCCATTTCAGCATAACTTTAACTTCACGTTATATAAGGCAGAGGCTTGGATGATTCTTTCTCGAGAAACAGTAAAATATCTTACCTGTGAATCTTTCCCTCGATGGATGCTGGCTTCTTTTGTAAATACTGTTTCTTCTCCTGAGCATTACTTTGTAACAGTATTGAAAAGCTCATCAATTTGGAAGAATACAATATACCCATTTGCATTTCGTTATGTGCGTTGGATACATCCAAAACTGCCAAGAGTCAGTACTCAGCATCCATTTGAGTTGGACCTTCATGAAGATCTATTCTGGGACGATATCTATGAGTCCGGTTGTTGGTTTGCTAGAAAATTTTCCCAGCAGGACAGTCTGCTTCAGTCACGAATCGACTCCGAAATAGCGGGACTCAACTCTACCCTCTTGAAAGATCTTTTTCAATCGGTTACACTTGAAAAGTCATTCTCTATTGAATTGCTGTCAAAGAAGAAACAGTTTTTAGAAGACAGAAGCTTGAGAAAATATTTCTGTTCCAGTCCCACTAGTCTCTCGTATCATTTAAATAGAAGTTTAGAAACTATGCGAGCATTGATAACAAGACATTTTTCTGTAATCATATAAATTTTACTTTTCATAAACATCTTTGTGCTTTTGCATCAAAGTCAACTACTATTTTGTTTGCTAATTTTCAAATCTTCTTGTGGGCTTTCTGCACAGTAGTGGCGCACTTCCAACGGTCATGTTTTTCAGGGCAGGTTTAGGGTCTCCAGCACCAATAGACCTGTTTTTGGACAGAGTTGAGCGTGAAAAACTACTTGAAAAAGTTGAAGAGCCACTTACGACTGCTAACGATGAAAATGAGCAAGAGGGGGAACTAAACACTTCGAACCCAGAAGAGCGTCTTGTCACAGAGGGGAGTCAAACGCTGGCTGTGGAAGAAGCTGAGAAAAAGCCTGAAAGTCGCGAAGATGTGAATTATAGTGAGAAGGAACCTTTGTACAGGGCCATCAAGTTGCTTGCAGAGCTGCTAGACGAGGATGACTTGCTGGTGGAACTGAGAGCTTCCAACAAAAGACTTTTAAACTTTTTTTCAAACCCTTTAATTATCAAGGTGGGGATTATGGTTGCCTGAGGCTTTTCGGCTCTTAGTTGTTTTTGAAAACAGGCTCTGATATCTTACGTCACCGACACGGTTCCCCGTTTTGATGAAGACCAAATGGACCTTGCGAAACTCAAGTTTAAGGTATGGATTCAGAAATATTTAAAGGGAGAATCTGAACCTTTTAAGTTTCCCTTGGTTGCTTGTGAAATACTTTGTTCCGAAAACCTCAGACTGAGAGACCCTTTTGCTAATCATTCAGATAGTTTAAAGTTGCTTTTTTCGTTTTTACGTAAACCCACTGGAGAAATAGACATGTCAACAACGGGAAATTTTGCAAGGGTCGTGTTGACACTAATACGCCTATATCCGGTTCGTAAAAATTTTTTTAGTCTAAACTTGATTTGAATTTCTGCAGGATGTTATAAAGAACTTTGTTCAAGAGAACTTGTGGATTTTAGACTGTCTCATTCAGCATCTTTATTGTATGTCATTGGCCGATATTCTGTTGCGTCTTTATCTTCATGTTGGTTATGATATTCCCAAATCCTCCTTGTCTTGGAGTCTTTCAGAAAGCCAGAGTTTACAAACATTTCCGGGTTATCTCATCTTTGATAAGCTCGGAGAGAGTTTCTCTCCTTCTTCGTTTCCCGAGCTTGATGACTTCAACAGAAATGAAGCTATTTCTAATTCAGCCTCCGTTATGGTAGGTATTATACAACAAAGTATCTCTACAAGTGACTATATGGAAGTCCCGGAAGAAGTCGATATTATTAAGAGGTCTTTCATTATTGGTAAGGTTTTAGACGATGGTTTAGTGGAGGCAGAAGATCATCAGGGAGATTTTGACAACATATGGTCCTGTCCAGCCCTAATGAATGCTCTTAGAGTTTGTTGTGAATTGCTTATTTCGTTGAATTCGTTGAAAGGTGAATCATCTATGTCGGAAAAATCGTATCGAAGACATTCGACTACGTTTGCCTCATTAGAAAGTAGTGAAATTTCAGTTACTGACGCCAATAACAAAAATCCACTAGCAATTGTAGAGAGTGAACTTGTATCCAAACTTCCCAAGTTAGGTTCCTTTTTGGCTAAGGTAGGAACCGAAAATTTGGGGTTGGTTGACTCCAGGAAAGTACTTGGCACGTTGCGATTGAAAATTGCCGAATTTTTTCTGACTTGTTTAGTTACCTGTAGTCAGGTACGCTTGTTGCTTTGTCTCAGATTTTAAAGGTTCACTTTCGCAGGACACTGTTGTGGAAATATTTCGTCTTGGAATTCCGAAACTTCTTTTACGACTTTTTGTTGTTTGTGATATGTGCAATATTCTCCATAATTATATTGTTTCCGTCATTTCATCATGTTTTTGTGGAGACTTTAAAGTTGTACAAAAATTGTGGATTCAAGAGTGCCATATTTATGAGTGGTTGGTTGAAGCTTGGTCTGAAAATGACAAAATCGTAAGTTAGAATGGTTCTGTCTTACGTATTTTTTACTGTGACTTTGAAGGACGATTTAAGGTTCCGCAAAGGCTATATGGGTCATCTAACTCAGATCGGCAATATATTAAGTCAATATTTGGATGAACAATACGAACTTGTTGTCGAATACATTTGCAAGGAGGAACTTGAACTTTTTGAACACCTTCGAAATACTTACTTATCTCAAACCAATGAGATCCAGTCCAAACCTTTGGGAGGTTCGCATCCAGGACAATTACTTTCCAGTGCACAGATGCCGGTTCCGACATCTAGTCTTAACTTTCCTGAATATGATCAATTCATGGCGGAGATAACCTCATCAGACGCGGAGGCAGTAAAGAAGTTTGCGGAATATCTATATGAACAGACTAACGTATTGTGAACTACTTGAAGAAATCTTTTTGCATGACTAAGTTATTTACTTAGGGAGAAATCGACAACGAAGATGATGAAGACGAAGAGCTTATGGAGAGTTCACGTGCTGTTCCAGTGACAGAAGAAGCAAATGATCCCGAAACAGACGATATTTTTAAACAAGCTGTTGTTCCATCTTCGGAAAGTCTTTTAGTAACGGAAGAGACAACAGAAGATTATGAACTAGACTTTGAGAGCGACGATACTGATGAGGTAGACTTTGATGACTTGGCTTTTACTGGTGATGCTATTTTTGCATCAGCTCGTGATTTCCCTTCAGAGAGGGATCTGGAACAACTCAGAAGTGCTATTGCCGAACAGAAATTAACTGCTGAAGAAGCTTATGATGCCTATGAAGAGGATCATTTGTCTTCTGTTGAAGACGAAAGAGTTTATGAAAAATGAGGAAAACATCTCGATAATTCTCCAATTTTCTGGTCATTAGGGAGTTTTGAATCTGTTTTAAGGTTAACAATGATATGAATGTTTGCATATTATCGCAATTAGAGTTGCAAAGATGGTAAACGTCAAGTTGCAATCACAGCAGAGTTCTTTGAGTTGGCCAAGTAGATTGGCTATTCAGTTATGATAGAAGAAAACCCTTTTGCTTGACAATCAAACGACAATAGAATACAGTAAATGTCATAAATTGATTTGCGAATGGCTACTTTTGTTTTAGGACTCTTGTAGAGTCGTTATTTCATAGCTCTTGGCTTTTTCTGATAATGAATGGAAAACCTTCATTGAGATTTTTGCACTTCCCATGTTTTGGACCGATGAATCACTGCTTATGACGAGTAACTTTTGTTACGTTCTTTTTCCTGTTGGAAGACAGTTTCCCACTGTGTCTGGATGTCGTTGCACCAACAATAGATGGAAGTTGAGAAAGTGGACAGTTCAAGTTAGAAAAGTCTTTCGCAGCCACCGAAATGTTTTGTTGTGTACCCTTCAGACTGAAAGGGAGTCGGATAGAGACTTTTGGAAACAATTTTACAAAAATAGCATAAACTTGCCCAAAACACGTTTTGAGCAGAGAGCTAATGCAGCAGTCAAAGAATTGGAGATTCAAAAGTTTTGGGAAGATCACCTCATTTACGAAAAGGTATTAGAGGCAAATCAACACAAAACTTTCGTTTTGCATGACGGCCCACCTTACGCTAACGGAACATTGCACGTTGGTCACGCTTTAAACAAGATTCTGAAAGATATAATTTGTCGATATCATTTGCTAAGAGGCTTCTATGCATGTTTTATTCCTGGATGGGACTGCCATGGTCTTCCCATTGAGCTCAAAGTCTGGCAAAGTATTCCGAAAGAAAATCACGATAAAGTTAGCGTCATCGAGCTTCGAAGAAGAGCTGCAGAGTTTGCAAGAAATACTATAGAAGAACAGAAAAGTTCCTTTAAAAGGTTTGGAATTTGGGGCTTTTGGTCGCGTCCATATTTAACTATGTCTCCTGAATATGAGGCAGCCCAAATACAAGTCTTTGGAGAACTGTTTTTGCGGTACGTTTTAGTCATGAGTTTCAAAGTTCTTAACCTGAAATGGTATGGAATAGTGGCTTCATTTATCGTGCTCGCAAACCAGTGCATTGGAGTCCTTCAAGTAAAACTGCCTTAGCGGAAGCAGAATTGGAATATTCAGAAGACCATATTTCGACTGCAATTTATGTTTCTTTTAGGATTGCTCATGTCAATTCTCTGTTGGGAGATTTGCCTATTTCTTCCAATTCTTTAGAACTTGTCATTTGGACTACTACTCCTTGGACACTTCCTGCTAATGAAGCTGTGGCAGTGAATCCTCACATGACTTACTCTTTGATAGAGGTGGCACGATTGAACCGATTTTTAATAGTTGCGAAAGATTGCTTGAAACGAGTAAGAGAAAAGTTAAAACTTGAATGGCAAGATTGTCGACAAGTTTTGGAATGGACGGGGGAATCTTTGGTTGGTATCAAATATTATCATCCAATTATAAAGGATAAAATCTGTCGAGTTGTGAGAGGTGGAAATTATATAACATCAGAAAGTGGAACTGGTTTGGTGCATACAGCTCCTGGTCATGGAGAGGAAGACTTTGTTGTTGGAAAACGTGAAAATCTACCCATTTCTTGTCCTGTGGATGAGAATGGAATGTTTACAAAGGAAGCTGGTGAGGTTTTGTTTGGACATTCTGTGTTAGGACAAGGAAACAAGCTAGTACTGGAACTTGTTGAGAATATGAATTTATTACTTGCGAAAGAGTGTTATCGACACAAATATCCTTATGACTGGAGAACGAAGGAACCTACTATTTATAGGACTACAGAACAATGGTTTGCATCTTTGGAAAACTTTCGAAAGGAAGTCTTGGATAGTATTGATCAGGTTACTTGGATTCCAGAGTCCAAGAAGAATCTTATTCGCTGTATGGTTATGGAAAGATCAGATTGGTGTATTTCTAGACAGCGTGCATGGGGTGTTCCTATACCTGTATTTTATGATGTTTCTAATGGTAATATTCCTGTTCTTGATGAAGAAATCTTAGAACATATAAGTCACATTATCAAAGAAAAAGGTTCTGATGCCTGGTTTTACATGTCAGAAGAAGAGTTGTTGCCTGCAAAACACAAAAATAGGCATCTCGTGAAGGGAATGGATACGATGGATGTTTGGTTTGATTCTGGTTGTTCATGGGCAGCATTGGAAAGCAAAGGTTATTTGAAGATACCCGCAGATTTATATTTAGAAGGTGGTGACCAACATAGAGGTTGGTTTCAGTCTAGTCTTTTGACTTGTGTTGCTACAAAAGGTCGTGCACCTTATCTAAAGGCAATTACTCATGGTTTTGTATTGGATGAAAAGGGAGTAAAGATGAGTAAGAGTGTTGGGAACGTAATAGATCCTCAAGTGGCAAGTATATTATGAAAATAAGAGATTCTCAAGTTTTCACAGTTTATTAGGTTGTGAATGGCGGAAATAATCAAAAAAAGGATCCAGCATATGGAGCAGATGTCTTGAGACTTTGGGTCGCAAGCGTGGATTACAGGAATGAAGTTTTAATTGGTCCGCAAATCATTCGACAAGTTGCTGATATTTATCGAAAGATTCGAAATACACTTCGCTTTATGGTTGGCAATTTGTATGATTTCAGAAAGGACGTGAATGCCATTCCATTAGCTGAACTTCCTCAGTTGGATATTTATATGCTTACTGTATTCAACAAATTCAAGAAATCTGTTGAAAGTGCATATGAAAGATACGACTTTACTTCTATATATCAAGCCATTCAGCGACTTTGTATTACAGAATTGAGTAACTTCTATTTGGACATTTCAAAGGATCGTCTATACGTTTCTCTACCTGATGATTATCGTCGTAGAAGTTGTCAAACAGTTTTGCATATGATACTTGAAGATTTGGTCCGAATAGTTGCTCCACTTATTCCTCATACTGCAGAAGACCTTTGGCAGTGTTTTGAGTTTCGACGGGATGCATGTCTTTCAGTATTTCAGTCAGGTTGGTTGTCGAATGAGAAAGTTCCTTTGGGTCATTATCCGGATACATTTTGGGAGAATGTTCGTTTGTTGCGAGATGATGTGAATAAGTGTTTGGAAAAGGCAAGAGAAGAACAACTCATTGGTTCTTCCCTGGAAGGTAGAGTTGGAATATATTTCAATAGTAAGGATGATGAGAAGCACATTTCCTTTTGTCATCATTTGAGACAACTTTCAAATAGTAGTAACCAAGTAGACCAACTTGAATACTTGTTTCTTGTTTCTCAAGTGGAGTTTATGGAAAGCAAAGAAAGCTTATACAGAGTGTACTCCTACGCAAGAGATAGTGTTCATTCACAACTGGATTGTTATTCTATAGGAGTTTCTAAAGCATTGGGTCATAAATGTTTTCGATGTTGGAACTTCTCTACAAGTGTCCAACAAAATGAAAAACATCCAGAACTTTGTCATCGATGTATTTCGGTCGTAGATAGGCTATTGTCGAAATAAACAGTCGACTTCTAATAATAAGGTAGTGAAGGATCACAATGCGTCCTCCATTCTTCGATTCCACCTATAATATCATAAACATTACGAATACCCCAACTTCCAAGTAAAGAAACTGCTTGTTGAGATGCATTACCACGACGACAAATCACAACAATACTTTTTCCATTATTTGCTTGTTGTTCAATCTATTTAGTAATTCTTATCAAACTGTCCATATTTCTATCATGACCAAATTACCTCTTCATGTTTGGAAGAAAGTTCTTCCAATGGAATGTTATGAAAACCTTCAATATGACACAACTCATATTGAACAGAAGGTCTCACATCTACACAAAAGTAATCATTATTCCAAAGGCCATTTGTTAGTACAAGTTTTGCTTTGGCTTCCAAAGGAGATAATCGCTTTTCAATAGGAATAGTAAAAGATTCGTTGAGTCCAATAAAGGATGCATAATCATATTCAACTATACTAAAGTCTTCTGAAGAATCACCACAAACGATGCAATTCGAACTGCGCTTTCTGAGCTGAAAGGTTCTAAATTTCGTTTCCAAACCATCAAATACAAGTAAGCGACCTATCAAAGGTTCTGCATCCTGAAATGATTATTTTGGAGTGCTAACTGAAAACTAGGAAACTCTTACTTCGATATTGGCAGCCAACTTGATGGATTCCAAAGCTTGCAAACAGCCAATCACACCAGGAATGGGACCCAATACTCCACTGGCATCACAACTTCCAACACACTTCGGAGGAGGAGGCTCAGGAAAGATGCATCTATAACACGGACAATCTACTGAGGCACTATAAACAGTTATTTGTCCATCCCATCCTAAACCTCAATATTCAATCCTCATCAAATCTACGAATAAAGTAGTGAGCTACCTATGGCTGCTCCTGAAACCAAAGGCTTGCTTAAAGCTGCACAAGCGTCGTTGACGACATATCTCGTCAAAACATTGTCAGTACAATCAAGAACAATGTCATAACCTGCAATGATTTCTATGGCATTGAACTGGGTCAATCTTTGTAGAACGATATGCACCTGAACGGAAGAATTCAAGTTCTGTACCGTTTCTCTGAGAGATTCCGCTTTGGGCTTGCCAGATAAACTCTCCTTATGTCCAATCTATGGAACAACTGTTTTAGAGAAAGTTATTTTTCGAAAAGATGACATAAACCTGTCGATGAAGATTGCTTATTTCAACCATATCGTTATCGACAATCCCTAAAGTACCAATCCCAGCACCTGCGAGATACAAAGCTGCAGGACAACCAAGTCCTCCAGCACCGATGATGAGGATTTTCTTTTTCGCTAAAAGCTCCTGACTTTTCTTTCCAAATTGTGGCAATAGTATTTGACGACTATATCTGGAGATATTCCAACTTTCCTTTGTCGTCATAGAATCAAGTGTACTAAAACTGATTTCATCATTACACCCCAACAGAGTTGTACAAGTAAGAAATGCATTGTTATGTATGTCATTCGTTCGGAAACTTGTGCTCAACGAAGATCACAAGTTTTCAATATAAAACTCAATATGCAAAACGTCATCATAATATTTTACTAAAGTGTTCAACGGTTCCTGTTGATAGGAGGAGACTTACTTCATTTCCGTTTCCTTTATTAGAGAAAAGAGAGAATGATGAAGTTTGGAACTTGAACTCTACAGCTATAACGGAGTTTCTTCAACACTATCAACACTCTCCAGTTTTATTTAGCAGATGCTTTCCTGATCTGTTCTTTGCAATAACTCCAGAAGAGCTAGCAGGACTTGCTTGTGAAAGTGGATTTGTGTCACGTGTCGTTCAACACTTTCCAACCAAAGAAGTTGGTAAGCAATGGAAAGTTTTCTGGGGTCCTTTTTCAGAAAAATATTTCGAAAGCTTTCCTAAGAAGAACGCCACGTTGCTAGTTCATGATGTGGAAAGGTATAGAATTCTATTTTTTTGCTATACTTAAGTGCCTTCTGCAGATATTTTCCTCAAGTGGAGCAGTTACTAAGATATTTTCGGTTCATTTCGAATTACAGAATAGACGATGTTATGTTATCGTATGCGACTTATGGAGGAGGTGTTGGTCCGCATATTGACAACTATGACGTATTTCTTATTCAGGCAAGAGGAAGAAGAAAGTGGCTTCTCCATTTGTCACCTCTGAAGAAGGACGAGGAAGATTGGCTGCCTAATCAAGTGCGTGTCGTTTAATTTTTTATTTGCGAAATTCTCTTGCCAATTTGTTAGGAATTGCGAGTTTTAAGATCTATTCCTTCTTCAATGAATGTAGAATGTATTTTAGAACCTGGAGATATGCTTTATCTTCCTGCTCGTTGTCCACATTGGTATATGAATAGAGTCTTTGAGTAATCCTTGGCTTATCAATCGTATATAGGGGAATCTCTTTGGATAATGATTGTATGACATATTCAGTAGGCCTTCGATTGCCTTCCATGCAGAATATGCTGTTTGCTATGATGGAACATTATACTGAACAGTTTCCATTGGAAGAAACTTTCCTAGACAAATGTCTTCCTTCGTATACAGCAGCAGATGACCCAGGAAGAATAAGACAATTATCTACAATCCGTACTCATTTGTTGAAAGAAATTCGATATTTATTATCTGGTGAGTATTGGCAAAACAAGTGCATTATATTTCAAATGACTGTGCATAGATAAACTTAACTTTCGTTCTTTTCTTGGAAAATTGCTAACAACTCCTATTCGATTGGATATGACACAGTTGACAGAGCAAGAAGAAGAGGAGTCTGAAGAAAAAGCTGAAAACCTGGCTAGAGGGTTCTGGTCCGGTATTGTTGTGTTGGAACGAACGAAAGGGTGCAAAGCTGCATATATAGCTTCTTCCAAAGAAGTACCTTGCATGCTATTTGTGGATGGAACAGAATATCGACTGCCCAAAGGAAAACTTTTCGATCAGTTTGCGAAAATGTTTTGTGATAAGCAAATTCCACTCATCAGATGTCGTAAATTGATTGGATTTCAGCAGCATTCAGATTTCATTGGTCTGTTCAAGTCGCTGCTATTAAATAGAAGTCTTGAGCACTTAACCCAATAGCGTTTAAAAATATTGAAACTGTTAAATATGGATATGAGGAATCTAGTAAAGGACAATATGGTTCCAGAGTTTATGCGACAACCTGGTATCAAAAAAGGTGACCAGAACACCTTTTATCCCCACTCTCCTCAACTGACAGCTTGTGGTTGTGCCAAGGCTATCGAAAACCCTCAGAAAATATTTGGCAAATTCTTACGTCTCTCGTTCAAATTCATAATGAGACGGGTTGGTGTCTTTTGTCAGAGTTTCGAGACGTTGAGTAAAGTGTGAAAATTAGGAAACGTGTGGACTCACTTATTGAGCGGCGGCCTGTTTCTTTTACTTGTCCCTTATACATATCACTCTTTAAGTGAATATGACAAGAAGGATGTTTTATGTATGTTAGTTTTTGTGCTTTCTGCTTCATTTTGTTTTTTTGGTTCAGCAACTTATCACTTATTTATATGTACGAGGAAGTGGCATTATACTTTGAGGCATATCGATCATAGTGGAATTATCAGTATGGTTTGTGCTTCTTATTTACCAGCACTGAATAGAGGATTCAAGTGTTTTCCTTGGTATCAACAACTTTATATGGGTATGACTATCGTTTGCTGGATAGTTATCATTATAATTGTCCCAGTGCTGGACAAGCGAGAGAGACGTACTCAAAGAAATATCGTTTTGTTTACTTCTGCCACTTGGGGAATCATTCCGTTGATTCATTTCTGTTTACGTGGAAGATATGGTTGGCAAATGTTTCTGGTTTCTACTTTAGTTATGTGGTTGGTATATGGTTTGGGTTTCCTCTTTTACGTAACAAAATGGCCAGAGATTCGCCACACCGGTAAGTTCGATATATGGGGCCATTCTCATCAATTGTGGCATTTGTGTACAATATTTGCGTCCTTGTTCTGGTGGTATACACTGATGAAGATGCATAAAGAGTTGCCTGATTCGCTGCATTGCTAATAAAAATAACAATTCCTTAATGCAAATTGTGAGTGGTTTCCAAATCTTCAAAGGGTAGAAGAACAGCAATTGTTGGAAACTCGACGACTACTTTTCCTTGCAATATCTGCTTAAGCGAACATGTCACATCACACTTGTAGAATGCATTGTCATCAAAGGCACGACGCTTATCCGATACCAGATACACTTGCAACTCTTCCACTTTATATTTTGAGTAGGTCTGTCGAAGCTGAGATAGGTTCTTATTTCCTGAAAGGGGAGGAACTGATTGGAGAATACGTTCAAACAATTCTTTCAGAGGCTCATTCTCGTTAACACGCATAAGTTGCCAGGCGAGTTTCAAATATGGAAAAACCAAACGAAGTGACCAAAAGATGCAACAGTTCTTAAAAGAGTAAACGGATTCATTCAACTTTGCCTTGGTGAAAACTCGAGGAAGAAAACAAACACTGACATTCGACTGTTTTGCTTTTCTCTCAAGTAGTTTGTTCTTCTTTTGGATGTGAAAACTGCTTTTTTGGTCGTCCTTCAAACGTTGTAGTTGCACCAGTGCCGACGATGACGCACGATGTACTTCTTCCAAAAAAGTATAATCGTTTAAAAAAGTGTCTTCCGTATATTGCGTCATTGGTATGAAGTTGGATTTTTGTCGCTTTCCCTCACAACCCTAGTAACAATAGTTTTTATACTTGCTTTACACTCCAATGCAGTACAACTTACTGTTTGTTCTTTATGTTTTCTTACACAAAGCACTGAACAAGTTCGTGTTCCACAAGAAGGACATCTATATTTTGCAGGTTCTGCCTCATTATTGCTATTTTCTAAACAACAGACTTGACAGACCTCTTGTGAAATGTTCACATCTCTTCCCCCATCCATCTTTGCTGAAATCAGTTAAACCCTTTCTACGGACGGAAAGCTGATTCAGTTAAGAAGCAATTTCCTTCGATATCTAAAAACGAAATCTTTTCTACGTGGGGATAAGATATTGAGACTGCAATAAAAACAGGTTCAATGTTTTCTAAGAGCAAAAAGTTATACGTCGACCTGGAATATTTTCCGACAACTATTTTTCTACAACTGTGTAACACATTGTCCAACGCTTCCGTATCTAATTCAAAACTTTTCAGTGAACCTTTTGCAATACCTTCTCCAGTTGCTTTGACAAGAGATTCCTTCAATGTCCAAATACGGAGAAACGATTCCATTTGCTGATAACTAGGTTGACTCAATAACCAATTCAACTCGGCATCCGAAAGATACTTCTTTGCAATGTCAAGATAACCTTTCACTTTTCTATTCTTATTTTCTATATCTATGCCAATCTCTCTGTCACACGAAATTGCCACTGCACATAAACCTTTCGTATGCGATAAGCTGAAAGATATTCGAGGAGTCGAAGGAATACTGCTTTGAAGCACAGGTTTTCCACCTTCCAAAGTCGTAAAGCTCAAATCTTTAGGTTCACAAATCGTCAAATATTTTGATAAAGCAGTTCTCATAACACCTCTTCCTACAATAAACGTATCTCGACTCTAATGAAAAGCAAGTAAGATAACCGCAATTCTACTTTTCACCAAAGTGTACCTCTAAAGACAGGAATTCCTTACACTTCATTTTTTCTTCCAAGGATAATAACTTGAAAAGATTCTCTACTGTGTGCTTCGATACGCTACTCAACCAAATATGAACTTGATTCTGTGGTGGAGGAAGCGAAGAAGAGCTCATAAAATACTGAAGTATGCAATATTTCTGTCTATGCCACGGTACATTAAGGGACAAAAATTTTTTACCACTAAACTGCAACGGAATAAAGCATATTTGCCAAGTCAAAATATTATAAGCAAGTTGCTCTCTTCGCGTGACCAACATCAAATGCTCATGTTCCTCACCTTGTACTGGGATTGTTGCAAAGTTCATGCTGGAAAGAACCGTTCACTGCAACATACTAAGTGTTCCAAGCGAAACAAACGATATCTCACAAGTTGGAACGGTTATGTCTTATGTTGTGACTTTGTGGAAGAGAAAGGTAGAAGCACTGAAAAAGCTTCAAATGTGTCGACTTCCCTGCTGCAGACCATTGGTATGGAAGAGTTGAGAGAAGAGCTGAGAACCAGTCTGGAAAATGCCATAAGAAAAGCCAAGAACAAAGAAGAGTTTGAGTTGACCGAGGAGGAGTGTAAAATCTTGGATGACCTGGAGGTTTGCGTGCAATTCGTAGTTTGTACAAGAAAGCTTAACTAAGCTTCACTTTAGAAACAAGGAGTGAAGGAGTTGCGAGATATTTTTGAAGTTTTAAAGGAGCAAATGAGCACTCTCAAAAACAACGAAGAACAAAAGCAAATAGTAGATGAAGCAGCTGTGAGACAGGAACGAATGTTGGAAGTCTACGATCAACAAGTCAAGTCGCTTCTTCAAGTGATGCAACAAGAGCGGAAGAAGTTGGACCAAGAGAAAACACATATAGAACAGCTTCGAAAGCAATATGAGGAAGACTTGAAACGAAGGGAGACTACTAGACCAAACACGATTCCAAAGCTATTGCTGTTTGCATCCGGAATAACTTTTGGTTTCTCTAGCCTTTACTATGTCTGGATAGCCCTTAGAACAGATCATAGCGATAACTTACAAAATGCTGTTTGGAATGCTTTGGCTACAGTTGTTGCTGTTCTTGTGTATGAAAACCAAACAAAGAGGAAATGACAAACATCAGTAAAGAGTAAAATCGTGCGGAACTTATTGGTATTTTCGTAATGTACGTCTGTGCTCTGTTTCTTGTGGTGGAGCACTCTGACTTTGTTCTTCTCTGGTTCTCGACGTTTCCTGTAACTGTGAGATTGTCGTACACAAAGAACAGAATGGGACTAACCATCTCGCTTGAGCCATCAAAAGAAGCAAACGTACAAAGAATCTCTAAAAGAGGTCCTCGCAAACTATTCAATTCCATCCAGGATATGTTATTAATCTTGATAAACGGTGTTCGCTCTCGAACGTTAAACAAACCCTTCCTAAGCTTATTGGTTCTCAAGTCAAGAAGGTCTTCCAAGGCTTTTCTAATCTATTTGAATAAGCACTAGGTTGTTAGAGGTTTCAAACCGCTAAAAAGCCCTGAGCGCAAACCTTGAAAGGTTGTTCTAGGTCGTCTGAAGCAACGTGAAGCAACTTGGACGCTATTTCCATGTAGTGCTGATGCAACTGTACCAAACCACTGTTAGGATTATTTCGCTCTTCCTCCACTTTTGCAAGTATCTTTTCCTCTGTAAGCCAACTCGGCGGCAATATGCGACACCGTTTGGCCTCCTTGAGACCTACAGCCAACCATAGAGGTACGGTGACTGGTATTCCTACTTCAAATGGACCGAAATCTCCAGCTATAAGGTTAACTACTGGAAGCTTTATATTAGGAATAATTTCAATTAGTTCGTCGTCAGCAAAGAATTCTACCTGTTGACAAGTCAGGCGCTGCGTCTCTTTTAAACTCATTTTTGGCGCCAAATTTCAGCGAGCTTTCATTTTTCCTCGTGAAAAGCAAATTCTGTTCAAGCGTCTTCTGTTTGGGAGGTCAGACTTTTGTTGTCCTAATTTCTATGTTCTCATCGAAGAGCTCAATAAAGTATGATTAAAATATTTTACTTTAAAGTTGATTGAACTATTCAAAGCGAAGATAATCGTTTACTTTCAACATTTGACTTGGGGAGTAAAGCTACATATCTTCATCAACTTTGATAACAATTACTTCGCTCCACGTTTCCCACAGATGGTGCGTGAAGTGATAGCAGTAGGACTCATCTTAAATAACTATCTTTCTTCTCTAAAGTGTAATTATAAAAAGACAAACCTGTAAGTATTATCTAAACGTTGCTGAAGTACGAAGTACACTTGACAAGTGCTCGGAAAGGGCCTACAAAATTCTTTAACAATTATTCGACGTTGCGATTCAAACAATACTCACTTGAAATGGGTTCTTCTGGAACAGCGGGTGTCCAACTACCTCCTTTAGCTGCTCACTCTCTCGGAAAATCAAGCTCCGCTTCTTCCTTTCTGTCAGTTTGTTAGAAACTTCGTGAGGCAACCTGACCATCGAGGATGCATCATCTTGTCCGTTTTCTATTTCCAACAAAGACTCTCGAAGATCTGAAACAACGTCAAGGAAGCTGGTTTTTATGGACTTTTTCCAGGGTCGTATCTTATGCTCTATTTTCTCTTCCTGCCTTTTCAACAAGTTTTCAACAACAAGGTTAAGCCTTTTCAACACTTTTTCATGTCTCTGCCTTCTCTTTCTCCTCTCTTTCGAGCGACCTATGCTGCTTTGATAACGTTCAAGTTTCTTAACCTCTTGTTGTTGTCTCTCCAAAATGGGATTAAGAGTGGACGACTGAATTCCTCTATCTGAAACTTTCTTCTGCAGACTCTTGGTCTTCTCTATGCTACTTTCTAGCCGTCTTGTGTGTTTTACTGATTTCGTCATTTCAGTATTACGTCGACAACTCCCCAAAAATTACTTTATTCCCAATGCTCAGGAGATCTCATTATTTATTTGTATCAGTAAGTTGGTGGCTTAATAATACTTCATTGAAGCATCTTTGTAAGACCCGTTATTTCGCACACAGAAAAAGGCTGTTTTCAACAAGATCAAGCAACTTGAAGTTTTCCACTATTGCTTCGTTTGGCATGGACCTAACACACGACAAGGGACAAAAGTCCAACGTGGAAATAGAACGAAAGTTTTTAGTATTGTCAACGGAATATCGGGACAAGTCTGTGAGAAAGTATACCATCCGACAAGGATACGTTTTCGCGTCAAAGGACAAAAGTGTTCGCGTGCGACTCACTGATGAAGAAGCATATTTGACGATAAAAGGTGAGACTCTTGGTCCCAAACGTAAAGAATTTGAATATTCCATCCCAACAACTGATGCAGAACAACTGTTGAATTCCCTCTGTTTGAAACCACTAATTGAGAAAACTCGTTATCTTGTGGAAGACAAAGGTTTTATTTGGGAAGTGGACGAGTTTCTTGGTGATAATATTGGGTTGGTGGTGGCAGAAGTTGAACTGAACGATGAGCAGGTACACCTTGAACTTCCTGATTGGGTTGGAAAGGAAGTAACAGAAGATACTCGATTTTACAACTCAGTTTTGTTTCAAAGTCCTTTTTGTTTTTGGCCTTTGGAAGAGCGACAGAAGATACTGAGGACCAAATAGAACAACTCGTTTCTGGAAATGCTTTATTTAAAAAATTTCTTGACTTTGTAAGACAAAAATTTTACAAGTAATACTATTTTACACTTTTATGAACAGAGTAGTGACACTATGTTTCTGAACTCCTAAAATCTTGTTGCATTTCGGAAGCTGGATTGCGTCCTGGTTTCCTTCCAATAATTCGCGCTGGCACTCCCTACAAAGCAATCAACCATTTTAAAAAAGGTTAATAATAAACTTACCACAACTGTTGCAAAGCTAGGTACATCATTCAAAACTAGAGAACAACTACATACATTAATCAATATATTTGTTCCTAGTTGCTTTTGAAATTACTTACGCGCCGATTTGTGAATGTTCTCCAATTTCTATTCTGCCAAGAATGGTTGCTCCAGCACCAAGTAAAACACCGTTATGAATGATAGGATGACGGTCTCCATACTTCTTACCCGAACCACCCAAAGTAACGTGATGAAGCATGGATACATCATCTTCTACTATCGCAGTTTCCCCAATAACAATTCCTTCACAACCTGTTAGGATTATAACTGCAATACAAAGTTGAATTACCTGTTCCATGATCAACAAAAACGCCATGCCCGATCTTCGCCCCAGGATGAATGTCGATATGTAGCTCTTTTGTTATTTGTGAGTGAAGAAAGTATGCCATGGCCTTTCTCTCGTGACTCCACAACCAATGACTGACTCGATACGCTTGAAGTGCATGATATCCCTTTTTTGCCAGTGTTTGCTACAAATTTTGATCATAAAAATAAGGAAAATTACCTTGAAATATAAAAATGCTTCTAATAGAAAAGTACAAGCTGGGTCTCTTTCCTTCACGGCTATCAAATCTCTTCTACAGGCGAGGCGAAAATCCTTCGACTCTTCAAGAGCATCACGAAACAACTCCATAAGCAGAGTACTGGAAATGGTAGGACTCGCTAGTTTGTTTGCCAAGTGAAAAGATAAAGCAGCTTCCAAGCTCTTATGATTTAAAATTGTCGAAAATAGGAAAGAAGCCAAGAGAGGTTCGTTATAAGCATGCTGTTGTGCCTCTTCCTTTACAATAAAACAAAGACTTGAAGTTGGACACAAAACAGCCCAAGTTAACTACTCACCCTCAAAATGAGCCAAACCCAATCTCGTTCATCTTCCGACTCATCACAGCAATTCTCGACAGCTTCTCTAAGACGGTCTAACATATCCACCGAAGACAAGTTAGCAACGTCCTTTGCCTCGGTTTCTTTTGTTCTTGTCTTTGTCTCCGAGTTCTGTGAGTCTTTCTCAACTTGAGTTTGCTCCTCGGCATAGTTGGTTTTTCCATTGCAAGTCATAGTTAACTTTCACAAGATTGGAATCCAACACTGATTAATTGGACAACCGGCCGTCAGTCAGTCAATGAGGAAGCTCCAAATGAAGTCTATTCAGTTCTATCATAAGTAAGTAGAAAGACATGTTTTGTTCGTTGATATTCAAAGGAGTTGTTGATATAAATTCAAGTTATCAAAAGAGAAACATCTGTCTCCCTATCCATTTATCGGAGTTGTAACTTAAAGTTATTTCAAAATCTATTTTTACTTGTAGAAAGTTTATTATCGAAGAAAGTGCCAACTGCTTTTTAACTGAAAACAATTTGTCAAGAAACATATTATCTATTCATAGGCAACCGGATTTATTCCCAGTAATTTTCATATAAATCGTAAATCATTTGGGCTACTTAGCCCTAAATGTCGATTGATTAATTGTCTTTCAAGAAATCAAAGGAAGGGTGCGACCCGCCCTATCTATCTACTTTTGCATGGAAGCTCAAGTCTGCAAGAAGGAGGTGCCTGTCTTGAAAGAAGAAATTGATGATATACCTTTATCAGAACTATGGAAAAGAATGCACAAGTCTGAACCCGAATTGGCTAATGGGAAGAAAGAACACAAGAAAAAGGAAGTGAAGAAAGTTGCACCGTCAAAGATAAAGAGGACACTTACAAAGGTTTGTGGAAACTCGACTTCCTCCAAGAAAAAAAAAGTGGCAGATGAAAATGAAGAAAAACTTGCCAACAAGAAATTTTCCAAACCTGGTCAACGAAGAGAACCGCCTCCCAAAGGAGATCCTCTTCGATTGTTCTATGAGAGTATGTATGAGGAAAAGAAACGAAAGAACAAGGAAGCAACTCTAGCAGAGACGTGGCTTCTTATTCACGGACTGTTAGATGAAGAACAAGCGAAAGTAGTTTTTGAAAAACAACGAAAAGCAAAGGTGAATCAGAACACGACTACGAAACAAAAAAGCAGAAAATAGCAAGTTCTTTAGAAAAAATTGCGTATTTTATGTATGAGCAACAGCACAATCGATACTGCTTTATCGTTGTCGTTGTTTCTTTCTTTTCCTTTGAGGTGCAGGTGGTTCAGTTATTTTTCGTGTTGGACTTTGTCGTTCTTGCTTTGAAGGAACGCTTTGGACGGCGTCTACTCGTTTCCTAGTAGTAAGACTATCCGGAATTTCGGTCAGAAATCTGGACGCTATGAGATGTTTGCCTTCCTCTTCTTCTTCTAAATAGGACAGAAAGAGAGCTCTTCTTGCTCTAGACATGGCAACATACGCTATTCTCCTTCAAAATGATGAATGTTTTGCTTTTACCAAATAAAGCACCAACCAACCTTTCTTCCTCATAGTGAACTTCCACGTCTCTTTCCGTTAATGTAGTTTGTAATCTTGGACGCAGAGGAAAATGATCTTCGTTCAGTCTCACAACATGAACATAATCCCATTCTTTTCCCTTTCCAATATTCAACCGCTGTTCATCAACAAAAACAACAAAAACCGACCTTTGCCTGATGAACCGTACAGCATTGAACACAATTGTTCTTTTGCAGCTTCATTTCATATTCACATTGGACTTCTTCCAATGAATCAACAAATAGCTTCAATCGTGTATATACATTATCTACCTTTCCTGGAAACACAGAATTGTTAGAGAACAAATTGTGGTTTCGATTCTTTGATAGAGCAAGTAGTGCCTTCTTCACAGAGTCATTTTGAATTTCCTCAGAATGTTGTTGTGTTGACCACTCCATCCGTTGTTCTAATGACATTTCAGCTTTCTGAAATATCTGTTTGGACACAAACAAGTCCCTGTCTCCTATTCTTCTTCGTACATCTGAAGGGAGAAGATCAATAATTTCTTCACTTAGAATGGACAGTCGAGTTTTCTTTAAAAACTTTCCGGTAATCGTATCCACGAGAGACAGAACTTGATTGATTTCTTCAGAATACTCTTCAACCAACATTAACTTCGATTTCTCCTGTAACTGAAGACTGCGTGAACCTTTTAAACTGCTCTTACAAGCATCTCTTAATTCTTGTAACAGACCATGAGATTCCCAACTAGAATTCTTCCACTGAGAAAGAAGATGTTGAGGAACATTTGGGAAATAAATAGCTGTAATGAGTAGCAACGCCACGTCATCTTTGATATTTAACATGAGTTTACAAAAACTCTTCACAATTAGAATACAAAGGTCCTGTCCATTTCTTGGAAGTATTTCAAAGTCATCACCAGAAGATTGAGATGCTTCTGAAACGAGTCTACAAGGGATTTCACGATTTTTGAGATACGAAAATATTTCAAAAGCAAGAGAACGGGTCCTCACGAGGATAGCAATGTTGTTGTTTGCAACTCCGTTGGAAGTTAAATTCAAAATATTATTAGACAATGTTTCCAATTCACATTTTTCATTTCTACAGATCCAAACTTGTATCTGACCTTCCTTTGCTGAGTCATTTATGACTGTTTTCGGAGTACGATATTTGTTTCTAAGAATTAAGTTACTCGTACACAAGACAATCTGTTTGTCACTTCGAAAATTAACACTAAGGCTAAGAATTGAACAATTCTCTTCCTTTTCACTTTTACTAAATATCGGAGTAAGTGGTCCTCCTTCTGCTCCTTGAAAACCATATATGCTTTGATCATCATCACCAATCAAAGTTACCTGAAATACTCGAACAAATATAAGCTAGACAACAAAAAGAGACTTACATGTGAATCATCTCGTAAGATAGAGCGAAGAAATGTCTTATTCAAAATAGAGCAGTCTTGGTACTCATCAACTATTGCATATGGATAGCGTCTCCGAATCTTTGACAAAGATGAGTCATTGTCTCTGCCAATTTCTAACACTTGTATTGCACAGAGCAATAAATCAGAAAAATCAAGTCCGTTACAATGATGTAGATACTTGTTATACTTTTCAAAAATAGCTCCAAGTTTACCATTTGTTGGTGTAGTCAGTGTGGCTTTATGTTTTTGTATTTGAAACAGAATATTCGAAACTTCTTTGTTGGAGAACACTTTGGGAGCTTTCCAATCCATTTGTTGAACACTATTTTCGTCTAAAGCTACTTCTGATAAAATTTTTTCCAACAATTTGCGTTGTTCAGCATTAGAAAATATAGTAAAGTTTCGAGAAACTCCAAACTTTTCCTTGAGTACGGTTTCTCCCATACTCCTCACAACACTCAAAGCTAAGGAATGAAAAGTCCAAACTCTCAAGTTTTCTACTAATTGGATTCCCAGCATATTCTTCAGTCTTTCTCTTACTTCAGCACAAGCACTTCTAGTGAAAGTAATCAAGAGAATATCTTTAGGAGGTATATGCAACTGATCTATCCAAAAAACTACGCGGTATACTAATACTAAAGTTTTACCACTTCCGGGACAAGATGAAATAATAAGCGTGTCTCTTGGTTCCCATTCTATAGCCTTTTTTTGTTCTTCTGTCAACTTTAGTTGGCTTTTCATTTTATATTCATTCATTCAAAAGGAAACCATAAAATGCACTCGAGTCCCATTTCTCATTTGAAAAAGTCGAGTTATGTCTCAAGGAAAGGATGAAGGGAAACTCGAAGACTTGTACCTAATTACCCTTAGGAATGGACCCTTTGCTCACGAGAGCTTTTCACCTAGCGAGGACTTGCTCAACTTTTTATGGAACGAATGCAAGGTATTGGTAGTAGGTGCTGGAGGTTTGGGTTGTGAACTTCTCAAAGACTTGGCGTTGAGTGGTTTTAGAAATATAGAAGTGATAGATCTGGACGTGGTTGATGTAACCAATTTGAATAGGCAATTTTTGTTTCGTCAACAAGACGTTGGAAAACCAAAGGCTGAAGTTGCTGCAGCTTTTATCGCAAAGCGTATCAGTGGCATCAATATAAAAGGCCACCATGCGAATATATATGATCAACCTAGAGAATTTTACAAACAGTTCAATCTTGTAGTTGCAGGACTGGACTCTATAGATGCTCGTCGTTGGCTCAACGAAACTTTAATCGATCTCGTAGAGACCAACGATGATGGCACTATTGATGTTTCAACTGTCATACCACTCATTGATGGGGGAACAGAGGGCTTTAGAGGACAAGCGAGAGTAATCATTCCTAAAATGTCTGCTTGTTTTGAATGCAATCTGGATCTATTTCCACCACAAATTAGTTATCCTTTATGTACGATAGCTAATACGCCTCGTCTTCCTGAACATTGTATTGAATATGCGAGTGTTATTTTGTGGCCTCAACAACAACCTTTCGGAGCTGGTACTAAAGTTGATGGAGATAATCCGGAACATGTGAAATGGATATTTGAGCGTGCTCAAGAAAGAGCCAATCAGTTTCATATTCAGGGTGTTACATATCGTTTATCACAAGGAGTAATCAAACATATTATTCCAGCAGTTGCTTCAACCAACGCAATAGTTGCAGCTTCCTGTGCAAATGAAGCATTCAAATTGGCCACTTATATTGCAAACCCTTTGAATAACTATATGTTGTACAATGGAGAATCCGGAGTGTATACTTATGCTTTTGAAACTGAAAGAAGAGAAGAATGTCCTGCTTGTGGACGTGCTCAACCCAAAAAAATTTGTGTTTCTCCCAAGTGGACATTGGCTGACTTGATTGAAGTGTTACGAGAAGATACTGAACTGCGAGTCAAGTCACCAAGTCTTACTGTATCCTCTAGAGCTCTCTATTATTCATCTCCTGCTTCCTTGGAACAAGCAACTAAAGAAAATCTTCCTCAATCACTGGACTGCCTTTTGGAAGAAGGATGTGAGATTTTTCTAACCGATCCTGCACTTCCTTTAGGTAGAAAGTTGCAAATTTTTTTTCATAAATGTAGCAAAAAGAACAAATAAGTTGATATTCTTATTCTTGTTTATTCAAGCGTCATTCTCACTTATGCTTAGTACATGTGGTTGAGTGATCACACGGAAAGCAGCATATGAGGATAACTGTTGCAATATAGTTCTTTTCGTATACAGAATGAGACCTCCAATATCTAGAAACTTTACGTGGCTTTATCCAATAATAACGCTAAGAAAATATCCACAAGTATCTTTCTATCAACAGACCAAGTAAAATAGATACAAGCAACCGTTCTTCTCCCAATCAATTACTAATACATACATACATACAGGAACTCTAGTCCGATTCGACTTCCATATCTGTCTCCAAACAAGTTCTCCAAGGCCAAGGAGGAAGTAGAAAAGTGGACCTTAATATGAAGAAAACTGCTGCATCTCCTAAAATATAGTACAAGCGACCTTTGTTAAGAGGTTGTGGAAGATTATTTTCACCTAATATAAAGGCAAAGAGACAGCTACCAACCAAAGGACCAGCAGCAAATCCCACACTTTGTAAGCCTTGAGCATATCCTAGAGCTTCACCCAAACGTTCCGGTGGTGCAGCATTTTTTACAAGCAAAGGAAGTGCAGTATGACAACATTGCCCACAAAACGACGTCATAACATTGCCAACAACGAGTAGTATCCAAGTAAGACGATTCGATCGAGTTAAGCCTAGAGTAGCAACATATGCAGGAGTTGGATAGAATACCAATCCTATCAACAGTCCCAGCCTCATCGTATTTAGTACTCCTATCTTTGCAGCGATATACTGAAAAAATACAACTGCTGAAAAGATACACGATATGCCTCCCATGGTTTGAACAACTCCCAAATCTGCTGTTGAAAACTGTACACCTCCAAGTGAAGAGTCGTTGACTGCCCAAAGTGCTAACACTTCGTCCATCGCATTAAGTGTAAAGGATACGGACAAGGCAATTCTTAAAACCACAGAAAATGTTGCATTACTAAAGAACAGATGAGTTATCAAGGCTCGAAGAGTTAACTCTGATATCTTCTCATCAAGTCTTGTATCCCAAACTGTCTCTTTAACTTTTGGACTCTCTTCTCGGATATCGCTCCAGTTTCTTCCGTTGTTGTTTGCGCTGGGTCTGTCTTTGTTTCGACGCCAATCTGATCTTCTCGATACTTTATCCTTCATGGTTGACATAGCCATAATGGCAGCGAAACCACTCATATCTGAAACTGCACTAGTTGATGGGCTATTCAAAAACAAGTAATGTCTTGGATTTTTCTTTCGGTAATTAGTACGCGATGGTGCCGCAGAATAGTCAGCTCTATTTAAGTTTGCAGCTGATGGTCTACAAGGAGAACGAAAAGGAGGAACTAGAGTAGTTTGTTCGTTTTGTTCTTCAATAAAAGGATAATAATTTTCAAGAGGTCTCTCTCTTGAAAACGCACTCCTTATCTCCAAAGCAGATCCACGTTTCAACCTTTGTGAGGCAAAAGTTCCCTGCGAATTCTCTCTCATCACATCGTGTGCCGGTTCCCGAATGAAGAAGCCCTCCCTTAGATCATAAGAGTTTGACAGATATACAGAAGAGTCAAAGTCTGTGTTCTTTTGATATTCCAAGACAATGCCATCGTCATGTTCATGTGATTGTTGATGATACGATGCTTCATGCAAAACCTCACTGGTACGAGATGCTGTTTCTCCTAAAGAAGAATACGTTTCATCCCCAAAATGGATTTCAGGGGAATTTGAAAAAGTATCATAAATGTGAATAGGAACAGACACTGTTGCTCTTTGTTCATTTTCTTCATTACTAAGAGGAAGAAGATTAGAATCTGCATTTCTATCGCTTGCTTCTTTGAATGGTTTACTTTCAGGTAACAGAAATAGAGAAAGGAGATACGAACAAGCTGCAAAGGTTCCAACAGTCATACAAGGTAATGCATAAGGATATCTCGCGAAAAAGGAATCTCGTCCAAAAATAGAGGAATACTGAATAGCCGGTCTAGATAAATAACCACCAACCAGAGGTCCCATCACAACTCCAAAACCAAACGTCATTCCTATCATGCCAAACGCTGCTGATTCGTTGGTAGAATCTGTTATATCTGACAAGTAAGTTTTCGATACAGTCACATTGCTATTACATTATCAGTAACTTCTGACTTTGGTTTGGAACAACGTTGACTTACCCTGTTAACATTCCATGCAGAAAACGAATAGAAATGGCTTGTGCATAAGTATGAGAGAGCCCAAAAAGAAACAAAAAAAACGAATTAGTAAATAAGCCACACAAAATGACTGGACGTCTTCCTATTTTATCACATATGCGTCCCCAAACGGGTGATCCAAATATAGAGCCACAAGCGAAACAAGAAGCAATCAGCCCACAATAGTAACCTGTCTTATAAGAAGAACTAGGTGGAATATTCAGCATTTCTTGGACCATGAAAGGAGCAAAAGGTATAACAACTAGCAATATCCATAAGTAAAACCTTAAAAAATGTGTAGGCACATACTTGTAACACTCAACGCATCGGGTAATGAGGCCAAACTTAGCAAAACCCTATGAAAGACAGTGTTGGTCCTGTTTACAACAAATTACGCGATTACTTACAATTGTTTTAGAGGCAAAGGTGTGGCTATTTGTTGCTTCATGTCGTCGCTATTCAGTCGATAGCTACTCGTACCTAATGTTTCTATTATTCGAAGCAACGAAATGGGCCATGAAATCGCTGGAAGTTTCCCTCAAAGGAGCAGTGCGGGAATCTCGAAGATTCTAAAAGATGTCTACAAAGTCTTTTCCAAATGAGAAATGATCCAACCTTGCCAAGATTGAATGTTCAAGATTTAGGAAAATCTTATCTAAAATAAACTTTTTTTTCCAATGAGTTGCTTCTTCGTCACAAATTGTTTAAAAATTGCTTCCTCTTCCTTCCCCCACATTTGCTGGCGCCATAAAATTTTTGTTTTGCATCGAGGGTCGATTGGCAAATATGCCGTTGTTTAGCAAGAAAACCTTTGAAGACTATATTGTTGACTTGAAACTCAATGGGAAACAACTTGAAAGACAGGCAAAGCGTTGTGAAAGACAACAGGTATATACAAGTTTTTTCTCGTGGTTTACATTCCACTCCAACTTTGCAATTAGAAACAAGAACAACTTAAGCTTAAGAAAGCCATAGAACAACACAACTCTGAAGGTGCTCGAATATTTGCCCAAAACGGTTCGATACAATTTACTTTACTGGTACTGTTGAAATGGATTGGTATTTTTAGCCATAAGAAAAAAGAACGAAAGAATTAACTTTTTAAAATTGGCTGCAAGGCTGGACGCTGTCGCTGGAAAGTTACAGTCAGCTAATACTGTTCAAACTATAAGCAGAGACTTTGGTTATCTTGTGAAGGCAATTGACAGTGCCATGTCGAGTATGGATCTTGTAAAAGTGAGTCAAGTGATGAGCAAATTTGAATATCAGTTCGAAGATTTAGACGTACGAGGTGAGACATTATAATAGAGAGGTTATCTTATTAACTAATTTTTGAAACAGGGGAAGTTTTGGACTCTTCCATGGCTTCTACAGTGGCAACAGCTGCACCAGAGGACCAAGTGCAAGCTCTCATTCAACAAACAGCAGATGAGTACAATCTTGAGGTATTTATAATTGTTTGTTGGATAATATAAGTGACTGATTTGAACTTAGTTGGATGATGCCATGACTGGAGTCCCTGTTCGTAATAGAACCGCAACATCAACCAAGTCAGAAGAAAATAGCCTCGAATATCGATTCAACAACTTGAAAGCGCCCTAAGTCAAAGTCTTGAATTTCCTGATAAGATATTTTGGCAGTCTCTTTGTAGATAGGATGGGAATGGTTGTGGATGAATCATTCCAAGTTCTTTAGTAAACGAAATAAAGAAGCTGCTTCCCTTATCCTACTAAATTCAATACAGAATGCCTGTACTTCAATGAACAAATCCTGAACATTCACTATTTTGTTCTTAATAAGACTCTGCAGGAACACACAAACAAGTCTAACAAGTCTGTTTTGTGTATACTTATCTCGAATATTTTCACATGAATGTATACAGTTGGATATATACATCTGAATGAATTCGGGAGGAAGCTCTACCGCGGTAGTCAATCTATTTACTACTTCCATGGAATGAAGACTCATATCCATGTTTACAAGAGCTGAAAAATACTCCGAAATCTTGTTACTAGAAACAAATTTAAGTAAAACTTCGATTGCCACAACAGGATTGTTCTCAACCAACTCGGGCAACTTGGCGGGAGTTAGACCACAGCGATGAAGAAGCCTAGGATTCTCGATAAGAGAAATCAACATTTGCTGTTGCTGAGGTTGCAAGGGTCCCTTTGAAGCTTTGTTAATTAAATCTTTCAAGACCTCCACCTGAGGAAGCTTCTCACACATTGTTCTATCCCAAACAACTTCGTGAATCGTTTCTGGATCAATCAACATCAGTTCGTCATTTCCAAGAGGCAAAAGTGGTGGTGCAGGTCTAACAAATACAGGGTCCAAATCGTGAACGGTAACATCTTCTCCCAAGTGTTCTAAGAATTCTTCTTCGATACTATCCAAGCTTGGGATTGGACTACCAGCCAAGCTCGTTACAGGGTCCAAAATAATCCCAGAAATGCAAGCCAACTCAGTTGGTTTTTGCTTCAGTTTCCAACTATTCCAAAGTTCTAATAGTTGAGACTTTTCCGATTCAAAATCTTCGCTTTCGATTATTTTACACTGTTGCTTCAAAAACTCAGCGTTATCCTTGGAAGACTTGCAAGAAAGTTCTTCTCTTCTTTTCTTATCCTAATAAACGTTAAGTACTCTACTTGTGTTTTTCTTCTGATAGTCTAGAATACCTTGAGCAACCACACGATTGTTAGTTGTTCCTCAGGTGGGGTGCTTTCTCTTTCAAGTAATTCAAGTAGAACCAACGCAGGAGCCGTCAGTTTTGTCTCTATTTCAACTTGAGCTAGCGAGAATATAAGGAATAAACAAGTGATTCTGTGTTCAAGAGAATCCAGCAGGCCATCTCTTCCAAGTGCGGTCAAACACGTTAAAGCCTTGAGTTCCTTCTTTTCTTGACACAAACATTCTTCCAAGTCCTTTTTCAGTTGTTTCCAAGGTTTATCTACTGTAAATAAGATATGAACAATAGTTGCAACAAGTTGTTTTGTTGATGGTTTCATAGAAAATCAAAAATTCCAAGAGAGACTAATGACATTTCTATGATAACACTGGAAAGGGAAATTCTCAAACTCAACTAGAAAGACTCTCCTTATAGAACCAGGAATCAAATTTCAACTTTATCAATAAACACTTTCAAAAGAAACAAGTATAGAAACATCAACCATTTCAAAATATTTCATGGTGTCACTTCACTCAGTATGACAAAGCTGTTCATACCAATAATGACCATAACAGCAAGGAAAACTGACAACTTAATTGATCGAATGAAAAACCCATTACGTGGATATTAAGTATTCCATTTCCTCATCTTTGTCCACAAACTATGAGCCGCAATATTTCCAATCAATTAAGATTGTCGATAACAGCTTGAGTAAAATCAGTGGTGCTTGCATTACCCCCAATATCAGCAGTATGATTCTTTGAATTCTTCAAGGCTTCTAGAACAGCAAATTCAATTCGATTGGCATAACTCGAAAGTTGCAAATATCTCAACATCATTACTCCAGATAAAATAACACCGGTAGGATTGGCAATATTCTGTCCTCCAATATTACGTCCAGAATGTCGCGCACCTTGTTCAAATACTGCCATATGCTCTCCAATGTTTGCACCAGGAAACAAACCTGGTCCTCCTAAAATACCAGCCACAATGTTACCCACAATATTTCCATAAAGATTAGGAAGAACCATAACATCAAATTGTTCGGGGCGACTCACTAACTGCATACAAGTGTTGTCCACAATCATAGAATCAAATTGAATAAAAGGATATTTCGAAGCAACTCTTCTACAGCACTCTAAAAATAGTCCATCTGCCATTTTCATTATATTGGCTTTGTGTACACAAGTTACCTTCTTTCGACCATTTTTAGTAGCATACTGAAAAGCATATTCGGCAATTCGCATGGAAGCTCTTTCACTAATGACCTTTAAATTTTCTACAACTCCAGGAATAGTTTCATGCTCTAAACCAGAATATTCCCCTTCTGTATTTTCACGAATCAATACAATATCCACATCATTGTAACGAGACTTCACTCCTGGAATATTGAAGCAATGGACAACGTTTGCAAATAAATCGTTGCCTCTTCTAACACTTATATTGAAAGAATCCTTTGTTGACAAGGGATTAGTTGGAAAAGGTCCTTTGATTGCCACTCTGTTCTTTCTCAGTGAAAACTGAACGTCCTCAGGTACACCTTCTTCGGGATTAGTAACTTCAAGAACTTCAAACTTGACAGGCACACCGGCAGCATGAAATATGTTCATCAAGGAAGAGGAGGTTTCCTTTCCTATGGTTGTTCCAGGAAGAACAGTAACCGTATGTAAGGAAGTCACTTGACCACCCAATGGAAAAGGATCCGTTCCAATGTGATCTGCTTCCAAGAAACTCGAGTATTTCAAGCTAGTACTTACCATAGGCTCTCTTTCTGTTGAATAGAAACCTTTCTGATTAGCAAGTGACTACAAAAATAATAAATGAGAAAAATACAACAGGATTCATCTGAGCCTCATACCCAGTTACGAGAATTGTGCCCAGAAAAGGTGAAAAGATATCTTGATGCGTTCCACAAAGACTTTGAAAACTTTGAAACAGTTGCAACAGACATAACGACGGAGGAAGCAGACAAAAGCATTTTCGTCACGAGTGGCACCCAATGATTCGAGAAGAGTGGATTACGTACTATTGGTATAGCACATTCAGGGTATACTAGTCTCTAAGTATCATTTCCAGTTCTGTTCTTCAACCCAACTTTGATGCAAGTTACTTCACAAAACTATTCTCATATCTAAAATACACAAACGCTGATGATGATTATTATATACAGAATGAAACAAGGACAACAGCCTTTGATTGGCTTCTCATTTGCAACGTGGAATTTTTTTACATTTTGGCTTGGCGTGGTTTGAAATGTTGGCGCGCACGAACCAACGCTAATGAAAGCTGCAGTGACTTATGACTGATAGACCTTTTAGGTTTAATAGACGAGCAAGTTTACGGGGACGTTCACAGACACTTGGTTCTAGTGACCATCTTACAGGAAACGGCATCAACTCCCGCTCCTCTTCAAGAAACTCATCTTATCAAAACTTCTTTCCGCCAGAAGATATGAACGACTTGGAGGCAGGACGCTCCTCTTCTTTCATTCAGAATGGAAATGGTACAGAATACGAACAGACTTATTCCTCCAAGTTCGGGCTGAAGCGCTTTCAACCCAAGTTAGGGTTCTTGTGGTGCTGGTTATTCCTCAGAAGGACTTCAAGTGCACTTTCCAATTGGAGTGTTTTTGTTTTCTTAAGAAATGTCAGAGTCATCCGTATAGCCATTGCAACTCTTGCTTGCTTGGTTGGATTTTTGTTCATCTTTTCTTTTGGGATCCAGCTGGAGTTCCGTAAGGAAAAGAATGGCGTCTATTTTCAATTGGAATGGCGGGATCTCAACGAGAACTTGGAAGATTCTCTAGGACCATGGATTTTCGGGGTTGTTGCGGATCTTGACAAAAATTCAAGAGTGTCTAAAACCGAATCTAACCAAACTGATGTTTGGAAAAGTTATTTCAAAAGGGGAAAACTTACTCGAATGGAAGAGTCTAGTTATGTAGTGGACTGGTTGGATCGTGCCGAAGGTGTTGAGATACTCACCAAGATCAGTGAGGACGGAAGAGGAATGGAGCTTTCGGATCTATGCCGCTTTCAGAACAGAACATTAGCACCTGATGATCGCACCGGAATTATTTATGAGATAGTCAATCCACTTGGCGGAATCAATGGAATTACGGGTGCTCCTTATGCTGCCACTCGATATGTCTTGCCCGATGGAAATGGAAACGAGGTAAAAGGTTTTAAAGGTGAATGGATGACAGTAAAGGATGGCTTTCTTTATGTTGGAAGTCATGGAAGGGAACGAACAGATGCTAAAAATGGTACCCATATCGAGTCTTATAACCCTATGTGGATAAAGAGAATTGATTCGAGAGGCAATATTGAACATATAGATTGGTCAGAAAATTACAATGCTGTAAGGAAAGCGGTTGGAGCCAGTTTTCCAGGATATTTGGAGAATGAAGCTGTACTTTGGAGTAGTCGAAGACGGAGTTGGATATTTCTTCCACGTCGATGGTCATTAGAACCATATGATGACGAAAAGAATGAGTTCAGAGGTTGGAATAAGGTCATTGTTTGTGATGAAAGTTTTTCTAATATTCGAATGGTAAACTTGGATATGGAACTTGAAGAAGAGAAGGGCTTTTCTAGTGCCAGATTTGTTCCGGGGTCCAAGGAAACGTTGATTTGTGCACTTCGAACGATAGAGCATGAGGAAAAGAAAGCTTATGCAACATATATGACCATCTTTTCTATTGAGTCTGGAAATGTCGTTCTACCAGATACTTTGATTGGTAACCAAAAATATGAAGGTATAGAATTTTTGGCAGAAAGTCTGTGAAATGTTTCTTGTAAGGATAAGTTTGTGATATTGAATATCTTTTTATACAAGAAGAACGAATCAACATTTACTACACACTCAACATGTTGTAATCAGAAGCAGTTGGGATGAGAAATATTCTATGCAACCTTTTCAAGTATATTTCAGTTCACAGAAAGCGCATATTCGAGTGTAAACACAAATGATAATAAAGTATCCAATAACAGTTTATTTTTACAATGCAAAACAAATAAATGCAAATAAAAAGACAACGTAAGAATATCCAGTTGAAACTTATTGACTCCCTTCTTATCTCCAAATAGAATCAGCGTCCAATTATTGTTTGTGACGAACTGTTCTTGTGAACTAGTTTACTCCAGAATCGTTTAAAAACATTCTTTTTCGATCGACGTGGTGGCTCCAAAGCTCTCCTTGTATGTTCTCTATTATACAGTGCTCTTGAGCTATTACTTGTGTTGCCAGTATTACGAACACTTTCATGACTTTGTGTGCGACTAACGTGAAATGGTTCACTCACTTCATGAAACACAAGTTTCAGAAATGAGGAAAACTGCAGAAACCCACGTTTGATATGTCTTCCTGGTTGTAAAAATAAAAGTCGAGTAGTTCTTCGAATTCCATCCGAGAAGTGGAGTCTCATAATCTCATGTGTTGGCCTATTTTCTTCGGTTTCTGTTGTTATCAACTGCCTCCTGTTCGACTGTTTCGAAACTGGTTGACTCTGAAAGTCAAACTGTGGCAATAAAGTACGACATATGGGACAATGTTGGTGATTAAGTAGCCATTGCACAATACAATCACTATGAAAGAGATGTGAACAAGGCAACTCCAAAGCTCCATCTCCAGGAACTATCAACTCAAAACATATGGCACAAGCAAAATCCTCCTCCGAGTCTTCCATCAAAGTGGCTTTCTTCTTGGTGTCTTCCTTCAACTCAAACACAGTAATTTGTTCTTCATCAACTGTTTGACCAGTGTCTACTTTATACTGTGAGCTGTTGCAAGTGATTGAATCTACGTAACAACAACTGCTGGTGGTTGTCATTTAGAAAATTGTTCCAGTCCACATGAGACGAATGGATGTCAGGTTTTCAAGTTAACAAAATGAACAACATACTTTTCGGTTGCAACCTTTCAATATTTTTGAAACAACGTGCACATTTTTGTACTTCTTCAAGTTCTTTAGGTAGTTTTCGTGCCAAGTTAAAGCAAGTCTGGCCCAAATTATTTGAAACTACGTTGCCTACTTCGAAACAATACACGCTCTTGAAACTTTTAGGATTCTATTCCAAAGAGAGTCAGAGTATGGCAGCTGGTGCAAGGTTGTATACGGATTGTATTAAACGGACGGATGATGAACAACTTGGTCTCTTGAAAGCACTGGAGTTGAATCGAAAATTTTTACCTCGTTTTCAAGCAACAGCTCTGCATTTTTGGCTCGCTTTGTGTAGACTAAGAGCTGTTGGACAACCTTTGGACGGCAAGACTCGCTTAGAGTTGCCAGTCGGTGACCAAGTTATTTCATCTAACAAGACTGTGTTTAGCGAACAGCGCTCCAAGTTGTGTCGTGAGTGCTCACTATTATCGAATGGTGCATATGATCGGTTTTGGCGTGAAATGGCTCGACGTTTGTATGAAGAGGAAGGACTCAATTCTCGTCAAGTTTCGAAGTATAGCACTGAACTGGAAAAGATATTTTATGGTTCGCTTTTATTGTTAGATGAGAGTGCTCGACATGCGATGGAAGGCGACCAAGGAGCTTCTTTAAGGGAAGCCATTGACAAGGATTGGCGTTCTTTGGCAGTGGATGGACCTCGAAAGTTGGCTTTAGAACAATATATTAGGAGTTGTTTAAAAGAGTTGCAACGAGTTCCTGATGATGCAGTTTTACAAGGTACTATCTGGTTGAGAGTTGTTATGCCAAACAAAATGGATATGGCAATAGGTTTACAGAATCTTTTGAAAGAAAGGAAATAAAAGTCGATATTGTCAAAAAAAATCAGAAGAGTTTGGATGAGGACGATGGCCTATGACGGCAAGACATCGGCTCGTGTTGCCTTTGGTTTCCAATACGATGTCGTTAGTTTAAAAACTTGTACTAGAAAAAGTGGCCAATCTTGTACATTGTTTGGCCTAGTCACAAGGTTTCGACTGCAATCAACTCAATCATTCTTTTTAGGATCTCGAAAAGTGCCAAGACACTTGCACACACTTGAGCAGTCAAGATTCGACCACTATGGACCTGCTATGAACTTACAAGAGACAAAAAGTCAATCGAATATTGCAACAAGTCAACAAAACACTGGTACCTTCCAAAGACTGTATCGGAGTCATCAAAAGGATTTGGAACTGTTGAATAGAGCTTTGTTGCAGTGTGCTGTAAGGAAAGAATTGCCTCCAATAGTTAATATCAAACAAGAGTACTGCTTTTATATCCAATTTTCTAGAAAACCTTCTCAAGAAGAGGTATCGTTGTACTTTTCTATTTTGGTTGGCCTTCCATCAGAAACATTTGGATAGGAAAAAAGGTTATATTGGCTTCTTTCGGATCCTCTTTATGAGAATAGTTTATCGGAAAGATCCTTTTTTCCTAGTGATGAAGGTTCCCATCCTTGCTTTTCTTTGGAAATAGGTCCCAGACTGAATTTCCAAACAGCGTGGAGTTCAAATGCTGTGACGATATGTCAGTCATGTGGACTAAGTTGTATCGAGAGAATCGAGCGTTCTAAAAGGTTGTTTGTTCTCTTATGCTCCTATCTATTCATTCTTTATTTTGCAATAACTTAGATATTTCTTGGAATGGGACAATTGTGATAAAGAAACTTTGCAACCGATAATGGAACAATTTACCAATACGATACATGATCGAATGACTGAAATGGTAACTTTGTAAATCTTTTATGATTCTCTGCTCACAAGAAATCATTTTTAGGTTTATTCTAGTCCGTTACAAAGCTTTGAGACTCCAGAACGAGCAGCTCCTATACAAATGGTTCCATTGAAAGAAAAGGGAATGACTGCATTGATAGAATTGAATCAACTCCTTGGTTTAGGTTTGGATGAATGGGATATGAAGTGAGTTGCAATCTTTGAAATGAATCATATTCATATTTTATAGATATTATTATGATATGTTTGTGAATGACTTGAAACGCAATCCTACTGTTGTTGAATTGTTTGATATTGCACAAAGCAACTCGGAACATTCGAGACATTGGTTCTTTAAGGGAAGAATATTTCTGAATGGAGAAGAAATGTCATCTTCCTTACTTGATATGGTTCGAGAAACTTGGCAGAAGAGTCCTCATCCTTCGGTTTTAGCATTTTGTGACAATTCTTCTTCTATTATGGGTGATAGTCAATGTTGGATGTGGTCTCCTGAAAAACCTGGCAAGTCTCTCTTAAGTCCCTTACTCCTTGTCCAAACTGATATATTATGGATATGAAAAGGTTTTCCATCCAAGTTGACTCCCAATGTACAAACTATGGATATTACTTGTACTGCAGAGACTCACAACTTTCCTTGTGGTGTTGCTCCTTTTCCTGGAGCCGAAACAGGTTCTGGTGGTCGCATTCGAGACATGTCAGCTACAGGAGTTGGTTCTTTGGTGATTGCAGGTACAGCAGGCTATTCTGTTGGTAATTTAAATCTTCCAGGTAAAGAAAAGTTGGCTAGTTTCATTCAATTGAATATAGAGTGGAATAATGGTAGATGAGCAGTTTGATTGGGAAGACAAATCCTTTTCCTATCCCAATCATTTGGCTTCTTGTCTAAAGATATTGATTGAAGCATCTAATGGTGCTTCCGACTATGGCAACAAGTTTGGAGAGCCTTTGATTGCTGGGTTTACGAGATCATTTGGAATGAGATTACTGAATGGAGAGAGAAGAGAATACATCAAACCAATTATGTTTTCTGGTGGTATCGGTCAAATGCAACATCGACACGCTTATAAAGAGTCTCCTCAAGTGGGTATGCTCGTAGTAAAGATTGGAGGACCTGCATATCGGTATGTATTCCATTTTCTATTTTGGTTGTTTGTCTTATGGCAAGATGAGAATTGGAATGGGAGGAGGTGCTGCTTCATCTATGTATCAAGGTGAGAACAAGGAAGAGTTGGATTTTGGTGCCGTTCAAAGAGGAGATGCGGAGATGGAACAAAAGGTAAGGATTGTACTTTTTCCTTGTAAAAATTAGCGTGTGATATCAAATAAGACTTATCGAGTGATTCGTTGTTGTGTCGAGCTTGGAGAAAACAATCCAATCGTATCTATTCATGATCAAGGAGCTGGAGGAAACTGCAATGTGGTAAAAGAACTTATTTATCCATCTGGGGCTCGTATAGATATTCGAAAGCTCTGGATTGGAGACAAAACATTGTCCGTATTAGAACTTTGGGGAGCTGAATATCAAGAACAATATGGTCTTCTCATACGACCTGATTCCAAAGAGTTGTTTTCCAATATTTGTGCCAGAGAAAATGTCACTGCTAGTTATATTGGCACTATTGATGGGAGTGGAAGAATTGTTGTATTTGACTCGGAAACACAACAAACTGCAGTGGATATGGAATTGGAAAGAGTGTTAGGAAAACTTCCTCAAAAGTGTTTCTATGATGAGTTCATTGAAACTGAATGCTTGAAACCTTTGAATATGTCCTTTCTTTCGAGAGATGAATGGCAAAGATATAATGCCAATGAAAAAAAATCCATTTTTATGAAAGTCTTTGAAAGAATTTTGAGGTTACCTAGCGTTGGTTCCAAAGCATTTTTGACAAATAAGGCAATGAAATATTCTATGTCATTTGAAATATTCGAAATGGCTTACATAAAACTAGGTTGATCGCTCCGTGACTGGTTTAGTTGCACAACAGCAATGTGTAGGTCCACTACAACTTCCTTTGGCAGATTGTGCAGTTGTAGCTATGAGTTATTTTGGTGAAACTGGAATAGTTACAGCCATAGGAGAACAATGTATCAAGGTGAGTTGGATTGAAGAATCCTTTGTTTGAGAAGCTTAAATGAGGATGTTAAAGAGTCTTCTATCACCTGCAGCAATGGCTAGAATGGCAGTAGCTGAAATGGTCACCAACTTGGCTGGTTGTAAAATTACTAGTCTATCAAGTATTCGTTGTGAAGCCAATTGGATGTGGCCAGCAAAGATGCCAGGAGAAGGTGCTAACCTATATCAAGCAGTGAGGAGTTTACGAGATATGTTGTTGTCGTTAGGTATAGCAGTGGATGGTGGAAAAGATAGTCTTTCTATGGTATGTGTTTATATGAAATAGCGCTTTTCATTTTGTTAATTGTTGTCTTTTCAGGCAACCAAAGTTGTTTCATCTGAAAATGAATCACAGCTGGTCAAAGCTCCAGGAACTTTGGTTCTTAGTGGTTATGCTTTTGTACCAAATATAAGAAAGAAAGTGACTCCCGATATAAAGCGTCCTGGAACTAGTGGAATACTTTATATTGACCTCGCTCATGGCAAACGGAGGCTAGGTGCTAGTGCCTTTAGTCAAGTCCACAAACAATTAGGAGATGAATGTCCTGACTTGGATGACTTTTTACTATTAAAGAGAGCTTTTGATGCCGTCCAATCTTTAATAGAACAAGGCAAAGTATTATCTTATCATGATGTGGGTGAAGGTACGAAATGTTATTTTGATAATTGAGATGCTCTGATCGTGACTCCAATTTTGTTCAGGTGGTTTGCTTACAGCTCTAGCAGAAATGGCGATGGCTGGCAATTGTGGTTTGGATATTTGTTTTGCCAATCAACAGCATTCTCCTTTTGCATTCTTTTTTGCGGAAGAATCTGGTATGCTCATTGAAGTAGAAGATCATCAACTGGAATTTATATTAATCCAATTGCATGGAGAGCAGTTACCTTGTTGGTTGGCAGCTATTACAACGAATGATTTCAAGATACAAATTCAATACAATGGAGAAAGTCTTATGGAAAGAGATATTAGAGATATTCGTTCCATTTGGGATTCTACAAGTTTTCAATTGGAAAAGTTACAGGTGAGTTAATGGGGCATTTATATATTTATCTGTTGCTTTGCATCTCTATTAACGACCATTTTTCTATATGTATAGGCAGATGTTTCTTGTGCAGTAGCGGAAAGAAAGAATCGATGGTTACAAACCGGACCTCGTTATCATCTTACTTTTCAACCTCAAATGACTAGTTCAGCTATTCTTCATTCTTCCAGAAAGCATAAAGTGGCCGTTATTCGCGTTGAAGGAACCAACGGCGATCGAGAACTCGCAGTAGCCTTTCACTTGGCAGGTTTTGAAGTATGGGATGTTCATATGAAGGATATTGAGAATGCCTCCGTTTCTCTGGATTCCTTTTCAGGAGTTGCCTTTCCTGGAGGATTTTCCTTTGCAGATGTACTAGACTCGAGTAAAGGTTGGGCCGGCATTATTCGTTATTTACCTCAGGTTGGTTTGCAAACCATGAATTATCTTCATTTTTGTTTGAAGAGAAGTTTTTATATTCTTTCATCGTTTAGGTGCGAGCAGAGTTTCAACGATTTTATAATCGAAAGGATACCTTTTCATTGGGAGTATGCAATGGTTGTCAACTGATGGCTTGGTTGGGATGGATTCCTAACCATACCGACACCATTGTAGTAGACTCTTCACAAGCTCTCTTTATTCAAAACAAGAGTGGTCGTTTTGAAAGTCGTTTTAGTAGTGTCAAGGTAATGATGATGATAATAGTTGTTGGAGAGTTTTTATGAACATATTGGCTTTTTAGATATTGCCATCTGTTTCCATTATGCTTCGTGGAATGGAAGACTCCGTATTGGGTATTTGGTGTGCTCATGGTGAAGGTCAAACCGTATTTACTAGTGAAAGTTATTATGAACAAGTTGTAAAATTGGGATTAGCTCCCATTCGTTATGTCGATGACGAAGGCATTCCTACGGAAGATTATCCGTGGAATCCCAATGGCTCTAGACAAGGAATAGCAGGCAAGTCATTGATTTTGTTATCATTTTCATATTCTCCAACTCTATATAATAGCACTTTGTTCTATGAATGGACGACATTTGGCATTGATGCCTCATCCTGAAAGAGTAGTCTTTCCTTGGCAATGGAGTTATTATCCCGAAACATTTCCTCAAGATACCAGTCCTTGGATAAGAATGTTTCAAAATGCCAGAGAGTGGTGTGAACAACAAAAACACTCCTTTACTTAGATAAACGAGCCATATACAACTGAGACTCATCACAATAATATTCTAAAGACATATCCATTCCTTCCAACAATGATTGCCATTCTTGTTGAGTTGGCAAAAGATGAGGCACCATTTGAGGATCCTTGAAATGTAATTCTCGTACAAAGTAACGTCCCATGGGATGACTCACAAGTATTTTACCGTTTTCCTTTAATATACTGAAAGCAACCTCAAGAGCTGCCTTTTGATCGACAAAGTTACCAAAGACTGCATTGAACAGTAACTTGTCAAAGTTACCCCTTTTCAACTCCAGAAAATCTGAGCAAATAGCTGGGCACTCTGGAAATCTTTTCTTTGCCTCTTTTAACATTGCGTCACTACAGTCACATAATGACAGTTGAGATAACGGAATGTACTGGTGAATAAAAGGTATCATAGCTCCTGTTCCACAACCTACGTCCAATATCTTGTCTTGGGGTTGTAACAATAACTCTTCAGCTAAACAAAGCCATCTCTTATCAATTCACTTACACATATATATATACAATAAGAAAACAATTACTTGCCAATCTTTGCCATTCTTTGTTGTACATCTCTTGGAATGGGTTGCAGAAAGTTCTCGACTTGCTGATTGAATATATTCCTCTGAACGATACGGTGTTGCTTCCAGTCACCTATTGAGTGGTCGTTCTCTATCATTTTTGTACGAAAGCTTAAAAGTCTTTTATTTAGAAGCTTCAACCCGTGCCTCCACCAAGACAACGCTTGAATAGAAACAAAGGCGGTGATTGGTTCACGAGTCATTCTTTCAAACCACTGAAAACAACTTCACAAGTAATTCGATTGCGTACAATACTCCAAAGCCCATGCGCTATTCCATATTGTCCTCGTATAGTATTTCAGTCTTGAAGATGCTCATTCTCTCTTTTACTTACTCTTATCCATCAACCATATTACCAAAGGCTTCACAGAATATTCATTGATGATGCCAAACAAAGAAAGTATCAACCTAATGAAAAGATATCTATCAACCTCAAACATCTCGTTTATGAACAACTACCATAAACATCGATGAAACCAAGTCAATTGTATCATCAATCTCACCCGAAAAGTGGGATGTTTTTTATAAAACAAAACCTAAAAAAGCAATCCATTTTTGTTTTTTCTATCGAATCATACATACGCCCATTTCTCCTCTTTGTCTTTCTTGTTCAATCGACTTTTCCAAGTCACCTATCGTCCATGGAGGTTTGTAATGATAAGCAATGGCTTGCTTCACAAAGTATCGTGGAATATTCATTTTCCTTTTCTCCTTCGATGTCATACTCTCTTTTGTCCCATCATCAAAGACGTACCTCAAACGTTCTCCCAACTCCAAATCTTCCCAACCATACTTTTGAAAGTCAGCATCAAACCTACCACTTTTTATAAATAGATGCTTTTCAACTGCAGCATTACTAGTACAAAAAAAAGCTCTACTGGCATCCGTCCACCATCGAAAACTAATAAAATATCAACAACTCTATGGTCTTATTAGGTAGTCATACCGATGCCTCTTATGTTCAGCAATATGATCGATATAATATACTGGACCTACACTCACACAACCTAAACTTTCTCCATGTCTTTTCCAATGCGCGTACAGAAACCCTGGTTTCACAATCACGTCACTATCCACGAAAACTAGCAACTTTCCCAACGAAGCTATGACACCCGCATTTCTAGCTCTTCCAGGTCCCCCGTTGTGTGATAGTCGAAGAAGACGTACGCGAGAGAAATTTTCTAAAACTTTTTAGTTGTGGGAAATAATGACATAATAACCATCGCTCACTGTTCCACTGCTTTACAAGTGTTGCTGTGCCATCCGTAGAACTATCGTCGACAACGATGACTTCAAAACTTTCATTTGGAGGCAATTGTTGGCACTCCAAGGCACTTAAACAGTGAACCAACGTCTCTACTCTGTTAAAAGTCGGTACAATAACACTGATGGCTAACTCATTGTGTTTCCTTTCAGCACAGTTCCAATCATATCGTGCAACAGTATCTTTCTTAAACCGAGGTCTGTAAGATATCTGAAACAACCCTCTTTTATAGTTTTTCAAGTTTCTTAACCGAAATCTATTCACCCTTCCTCCTATCGTCGTCTGAAAGGAACAACCATTCATGAATACCTTTTATTTCTCAAGGTCAACAATCGATGGCGACGTATCATCTAAAAAAATGGCTCAATACAAATATCATCAAGTGGACTTTGCTTGTCTCTGTGCTTGTCGAACACGAAATATATCTCTGGTAGGTAACCTTTGATTATCTGAAGGAACGTTGTAAGTTGGGGCATTCTCTTCCACTTCTTCTTCCTCAGTGGACATTCCATTCATCCGATGTGGAGGTGATAACGAATTGGGATTCATTCCTTTGCTCCAATCACTTGTATTCTTTCTTTTCTCTCCTCGTGACTTTTCGTTCTGAATATTGGGAATGCCTTGTACATTGTCTGGTGTGCATACTACAAGATTCAATACATAATTTACATCGGGAATAATATCCGAAGCAAAAGGAAACATATTCATCAAAGCTTGTAAACTCTCCAACAGACTACCAGAATTGCCTCCCCAATGAGAAGAAAAATTGGATTCGGTTCTTTTCGAATCTATACTCGTCCGATTACGTTTGGTTGTACTTTTAGTAGACTTCGGTTCTAGAGATGAGACAGTATGAATGGATTGTCGACTGTTTAAACTATCTCCAATATAGAGCAGATCAGACGATGTCCAACCATTCACGTCGCGGAAAGAATAGTAGGATAAAGCAGATTCCAATAAGAATTTTTCACCTCCTCCGATGGCTTCTAAACGTCTCATTTCAATTTCTCTTCGCTTCTCTAAACCAAAGAAACTTTGAGCAAATTGACAATACTTATCCCAAATGACTGGACTGTCTTCAACAGGATATTCCAATAATAACCTCTCAAACAACGCTTGGAGATTGGTTTCATCCCCCAACATCCATAGAAATGCAATAAACTCAAGTGCAAAATCCAAGACTTGAGGAAAAGACTTGAGTCCCAACTCAAATATATTTAAAGCAGCATCCAAATTCTTATTTCGATAATATTCTAATTCTGCTGCAGCAATGTACAAATGATAGTCAGAAATTTCCTTTCTAGCTCTTAGAAACAACTTGCGACTGGCATCAATTCCTTTCACTCGTCTCAAAAATTGCATATACTGAATATATACCAAAGAAGATGGCGATAATTTCAAAAGTTCCTCATAAAGTGACTCAACAATGGAAAAATTTTTCATAGATTCCTCCAAATCAGCTAAACAAAAGTATAACATGGCACATTCTGGACAAGCTTGAATTCCTAGACTTACGTTTCAGAAAAGATACTTTGCTATATCCAGGAGAAAGGATACCTACCTCGATATAAATATTCTTTCGCAGTGTCCAAATCTCTTCTTTGGACGTGATAAAAATAAATTTCCAGCCATAAATCGGGATATCTATACAAACATATGATTGCCTGCTCATATGCGGCAACAACACGTTTATGCAATTCTTCAGTTTCCAACTTGTGGGGATTGGACTTTTCTCCTTCAATATACTTTCTCCATAAACGCACTTGTTCTTCCATCTTAGGAGAAGGTGGACAAGCCAAAACATTCAACAAGAGTCCTTCTCTACGGTTCTTACGAGCACGAAACTCTGCTCTTGCAGCAGAATACAATGGTTGATATTCCGATAATAAGCCTTTGGCAAGTGTCCTATTTAAAGAGTTTTCAAAGTTTTCATATTCTTTCCAAAAGTTGTCCAAGTTGTACATCGGCGTTTGTAACGCTCTTTGATAGGCAGAGCGAAGTTGGTCTCTTTTGGTGTTCTCTTCTTGTGCGTTTCGAGGCTCCCATTCTTGAATAAAAACTATATAGTCGTTCCACAAATGATTAATTTGAATATCCAGTCCAAGATGCTTCAAAGCAAACTCGTACGCTTCCGTTGCTTCCGTTCTGGATTTCCTACTCCTTATATAGTCAGTATATGTCTTCCACAAGTCAATATGGTGACAAGTTAATAAAGCCTTTTGAAAGGTGTCCTCTACCACTTCCTCATTTCCTTGTTTCCACTCGTGTTCGATGTACAACTTCCAATAACGTCCAGCGGTTGGAAACTGGGATAAAAACAGTTTATACGTTGACCTTGCTACTTCAATGGGTTGGTTCTGTGCTTCCATGAACAAGGTAACCCAAGCATCCGTATCCCACGGATCTGCGTGTATCTTTTGTTCTGCTTCAATAGTCTTTGGGGTTTGGAAAGTTGGTTTTCTGACGTTGTTGTCATTGTTTTCTTCGTTTCTGTCTGCTTCCTGTAACTCTCTATTCTCTTTTATAGGTTGTTCCAAGTTTGTTTCCCACTCACTTTGTTCATTTTGGTTTTCCATAAGAATGACTGTTTCGTTGAAGAATGCTCAACCCCGACCACCACCACCACCACTACTACCACTAGTAATAATAATGATGATGATCTATTCTTTCAATATTTTGCTCATTCGGATGTGAACTCTTTTCATTGAACATGGAAAGTCTTCTTTTATCTAATGTAAGTCACTCTTCCCAACAAAAGAACAAAAAGCACTATTCAAATAATTTCATACAAGTATATAAAGAACGGACGCTTTCAGTTACAAACGAATTGCACTGATGATTCCAACAGACTTGTTTCATCCGTATATTTCTTATGGTATTGATTGCAATGACGATATGTCCTTTTTACTTGTATCTCATGAAGATGCACTTCAAACACTTTTATTTTTCACCGTCTCAATCCATGCTTTATCTTCAATGGAGTAAAAGAAAAAACGACATTCCCCAACAACAAACATATATCGTTATCTACTTACTCATTTCTTTTACATATTCCCAGAGGAATAGTCCTTCTATCTCATACAAGAGTCTCAAAGTTAGATTGTATGTCTGTCTCAATATGCGATATCCAACAAAAGACAGAGCCTTAGATCCCATGACGATCGTCCCTCCCCCCTCGTGGGAATTGTCCAAAATTTTGTCCACTCTGACATCTCTTTTGTCGTTTTGTCCACACTCTTCATCTTTCAAGCTCAGAGCCCTCGTCGACGCGAAGGACGAGGACAATATTTCAAGTCTACAAGGTCAAACCTTTCTCAAGTATTTCACAAACAAGTAAGTAAACAACCTTATATATATGGCTCCTACAAGGCTAGGGACCTATTTTCTCGACTGTACTGACGGTTCTTGAAAGCTTGTCGGGTTTTAAAACCCTTGTCTTGCTCCCCGTGTGTAGAAAGTATTTGAACAACCAGTGACATAGTAAAATGGCAGAAGGAACAAGGGACCAACAGGAAACAGCATATTCTGCGCCTCCTCATAACATGACAAAGGGGGAACCAACCACCGCAATTACTGCAACTTCAGGAGGCGCCAACACCTCTTTGCCTTCACCCTCGGGTGGTGACAGTCTTGCTTCTGGTTTAGACAGCAGTGATACTAACCGAAAGGAGTCAAGGGGACTCAACTTGACGGAGGAAGAAAGACGAGCTAGAAGACTGAAGCAAAAGAGAGACTCTGCGAAGCGTTCTAGGCTTCGAAGAATGGATGCCCTTATGAGTCTTCAGGAGGAAATATCTCAAGCAAGACTAGCGCTTTCTCAGTTGAGGCAGCATGCTGCGCACTTAGAAGAAGAGAATGATAGGTTAAAGGCTGAAAATGCACAACTAAGAGTACAAATAGCAGCACCTCCGCCTTTAGGACGTCCTATGCTTTCTGGTCAACAACAGCAACAACAGCAACAACAACAACTTGGTCAAGGTGGTATGGGACAGATACCAAATATGTCCTCGCTGCATGGGAACAACTTGGCCGCTGTTCGTCAAGCTTTGCTTTCTCAAGCGGTACCCAATTTTAGTGGCAACAACAACATGGGAAGCATTCATAACATGACCAATGCATCTTATCAACAACAGCGAGGAGAAGAACAAATGATGAGTTCCAGAGATGGAAATAATGCTGGACAGAATCATCCCAACGGTCCTAACAACCAGAGACAAGTATACTCAGATATGCAGCCATATCCTCCTCACCAGTCGATGATGATGTCGTCCAATCCTTCCTTGTCAGGGTATCCTGGAAATCAGTATTCATTTCATATGAACCCATATTTTGGACAAAACAATGCATAATTACAAGAATACACATATAAATACGTGTTGTTGTTTCTTTGCCACGTTGTGAAAAAGATTCTTTCTGCGTGTTGGCTTCTTTTATGGGTTGGCGAAATAAAGAAGGAAGTCTTTATCAGAATAAAGCAACCAGTGAGAGGTTTAACGAAGAATAGTATGTTTCTTTTAGTTCCACGACTTACGTTTCCTCCCTTCAATCAGTTCCACTATAAGTTAGTTTCAGAGTTACCTCCCAACTAGTACTCTGGTTGAAAATAGTTCTCTTCGTAGAGCTCTTCCAATTTTTCCTGCACGAGTTTCAGAGCCCAAGATTGAATAAACAGGCTCTAGATAAAAAATAAGCAATGGAACTTGGAACACAAGTAACAATCATCTTACAGTTTCGTCCAAGTTAGCTATCACCTACCAAGTCAAAGTCAGTTTGTAGAGAACAGTGCAAAGCATTCCACATACAAAACGATTCGGAGCTTGATCCTCATCCAGTTTTAATATAAACTGTTTCATTGGAATATCACTTGTATTAGTCAGTGTTTTGGTTTTTGGTCCTATTCAAGTTTCCTTACCAAGTGATCAAGACACCACGCAAGAGATTCACCATATCCAATGGTTGATGTTTGTAACGTTATGTTCATCTTTTCTATTTGCTATTTATACCCTGATATACTAAAATATTTTTTAGCTCTATGTAAGTAAGGATGCAGTTACTTGTTTGAATGACACATAATAATGAGATTGGATTTTGTCAAGGCTCCCATCATGGTTACTTTGAACCCTTTGAGCTTTGTAGAAACTTGTTTTTGCCACCATAGAATACGTCCATGGAATCGCTTGCATCTTAGGAAAAGAGTGTATTCTGGTTTCCACAAGTATCCTCGAGTCGAGGCGCCATTTCTTTGTCTTCCATCCTTTCGTGGCTCTTATTTGATGAAAAAACCTATGTGCGAAATTTTGGTCGTTTTATTTTTTTCGACTATCATACCATCAGTTGGATTGGCAAAGGATTACGGTATTTGGTTTCTCATGCAGCTTTTTCCTTGTCACTGACATATATTGCAGTAACAGTTGCTCAAAACGATTTGAGGTCCTTAACCGGTTCAAGTGAGGGTGTAAGCAGTGTTCTTTATTCTCAAGTTTCTTTGATGGATATCCATGTTTTTAGATTGATGTTGTCGATTTTGCCAATTCACTTCCTGCAACAGAAGAGCGTCTATTGAATGAAAAGCTTGTTCATCTTGAACAGGACACAGGTGTAAAGATTCGCTTACTAACAACCAATGAAGCTATCGATGGAAAATCTGTTAAAAAATATTGGAATCTGGATCAAGATAGTGTTCTAATCTATGTAGATACGAGAGGAGGTAATATTTTGAATTTTTTGCCAGGGGAACATGTCAAGGAGAAGTTGAAAGACAACTTTTGGTTTGAGCTGCAAAGTCGGTAAGCACAAATAGAAAATGTTTGATATTTTGATATGAGATATATTTCAAGTTATGGCAACCAATTTTATGTGAATGAATACGGAGAAGATGGAGCTATCATTACCGTTATTCAAGCGGTGGAGACTTGTTTAAGAAAGAATGGAATTTGTGACAGAGTAAGTTATCAAGTCTACTTTTTGTATGGATAAGACTTGTTGGAATAGGCACCTGGGTTTGGAAGAGATCAGTATGCTTTGTCTTTGATATTAAGCATTGCTGGTGGCTTTATTGCTGGAGCAGTAAGTAGATAACTATTTTAAATAGAAAATAGAACCATCGAATTTCCTATAGGCTGCTTCTACAGGTGGCAACAACCAAAAAGTAAATATTCCATGGCTTTTCCTATTTAGTCCTCTTTGGGGTATATTATTTGGTTCCTTTGGTGTGGGTAAGTAAACTCGAATATGGGTTGTTTGTGATATTCATGTACAAGTTGAAAAGGACCCATTGTGGTACGTGAAGGCTGGTTATCGTTGGATTTGTTACAAAATACTTTGGCATTTTTGGTTTCATTGGGTGTTTCTTTCCTTTTACTTCAAAGAATGTATTCTCAAATTTCATCCAAAGACCCATAAACATCAAGACCATTTTGTTTTACTTTTTACAAACAAATAGCGATGCTTAGAGACAAACGTCCAAGTTGGTTCAAACATTGGAAGTGCCTTGAATACGATCAGGTATCGATTCATCTGTCGTTGCAGGATGACTCTCGTTGGATTGAGTATTATCTTGACGTGAAAAAGGGGACTTGCTCAACTATGAAATACATAAAACACTTGGGATCCTTATCCATATGCCAATCTCACCTTGCTATCCACGAAAAAACTCATAAAGACCAACACCAAACCGTATGCAGCAACAAATACACCAGCCAGTATCTATACACTTTTCAATCAATGTTTCCCCAAAAAGGGCTTCTCTCTCATCTCTTACTTGAAACCAGTGGGTGTCCACTGCCAACAAACCCACAAAAATATAAAACACTCCACGTCCTTTTTTCAAATTGAGTTCTCTTTTCAACGACCAACCTCATGACATACCAAAGAATGTGTCTAGAAACGAAAACCGCTTCAACAGAAAACTAGTAAACAACTATTGGGTTACACTTTCAACAAATACAACAACTTACCTAAATCCCAACTCAGAAAGGATTATCAACACTGCAAATATTATGAGATAGATGTTGATGATGACATTTCTTGGGTTGATGCTATAAAGTTCTCAACACACACACACTCTCTTCACATAGAAGAAGACCGCGTTCTTACCTACAGAAAATAAAACAAACTACTCCCACAGCACCAATAACTCCTGCACTTATTATGCACAAGATACTTAATACTGAACGAGTCAACTTTCCAGGAACATAAGCACGTAACGCATGAGAAGCTACCGTTCGTGTCAAATCCACCATTCTCTTATCCGATGACACAAAAAGGATCAAAGCATGCTTTCTTCTTTTATTATCAAACGAAACAGCCATTACTCTCTCATTCTATAGTTACTACTCTTAACAAATTGGTGGCTCCAGCAACACCTTCTCTCATACCAGAAATAACGATGGCCAATTCTCCAGAAGATGCTATGCCACTTTGTTTACAAGCAACCAAACAACGTGCAATAAGACTTTCTGTACCAATCATCGAACCAACTACCAATGGAAAACTTCCTCGATCAATCAATAACTGACGAGCAGTTTGTTCATTGCTAGTCACACATATCACAGGAGCTACTGGACGATATTTGCATACCAAACGACCAGTCGTTCCTGTTTCCGTTAAACAAAGAATGAGCGAAGCATGTAAATCAAATGCTGTTCGAACTGCAGAAGAAGTAATCACTTCAGTTATAGAAGGCTTCTGTTGTCTCATCAAATTCCGCAAACAAGTAAAATTGTAATTGTAATCAATACAACTTTCCGCTTCACGACAAATGGCTACCATAGTCTCTACAGTCTCTACAGGATAGTCACCTTTGGCAGTTTCTCCTGAAAGCATCACACAGTCACTACCATCAAACACTGCATTTGCAACATCGGTGGTTTCAGCTCTAGTGGGACGAGGATTCTTAATCATCGACTCCAACATTTGAGTAGCTGTAATAACTGGCTTTCCTTTCACATTACATTTGGAAATCATCATCTTTTGTGCAAGAGACACTTTCTCTATCGGTATTTCCACCCCCAAATCTCCTCGAGCTACCATGATTCCATCAGCAACTTCCAATATTTCATCAAAATTGTCCAAACCCTAATAGATATGAATATATTCATCACATGAATATTCTTTGAAAGACATACCTCCTGATTCTCTATCTTTGCAATTATTTTGATACGTGAACCACCAAAGCGTTTCAAAGTCTCTCGAATTTCCTCCACATCACTAGCTTTACGAATAAAACTTGCAGCAACAAAATCAACTTTTTGTTCCACGCCAAAGCGAAGGTCTGAAACGTCCTTGTCTGTCAAGGCAGGTAAGTCCACAGATGCATTGGGAAGATTCACTCCTTTTGTTTCTCCCAATATACCGCCATTTTTGACTACACAGTGAACGAGATCATCTTCCACGCTTTCTACTTGTAAAGCAATCAACCCATCATCGATAAGAATAAGAGAACCACGAGAAACAGTTTGTGCAAGTTTCTCATAACTCTGTGCCACAATAGTTTCATCACCAACGACCGACATATCCGAAGTAACACGAAAAGTTTGGCCAGTATGTAAAACAACTTCTTTCCCATCCTTTAGTTTACCTGTACGTATTTCTGGGCCTTTTGTGTCCAACATAATGGCACACATACGACGGCTTGCTATCAGATACTTTCTCAAGTTGCTAATAACCGAGGCGTGATACTAACCCCAAAAATTGAAAAATATTTCTAACCTGAGGGAAATACAAACCTACCTCATGTGAACCATGACTAAAGTTGAGGCGCATGACGTTCATTCCAGCTTCCACTAGCTTGCCGATCATTTCAAAACTGTTCGTTTTTGGACCTATCGTACATATGATTTTGGTTCTCACTATAGCAGCCGCGGGTTCTACTTTAGTCTTTTCAGCAAGATTAATCTTCAAATTATTTTCCAAAGTAGTCATTAGGAATATTTCTGAGAGAACAAGTCAGTCCTTTGAAAGCCGATGTAAAACAGAGAGCTATTTGGTGATTCCAACGGTCGTTCCCAAGTAAAACACCGTTGTTGTTTCTCTATGTGAGCCCAGAAAGCAAAAAAGTCGCTTCTATGTATGATAGACACTGGTAGAAGAACGCATATACTTCAACTGACAATATGCCAATTGAATCGCATTTACGCCCAACCAATATTTATCGTCAATGGCCAGCACTCGTTTTTCTCTAGATAATATATATATATATATATATATATATGTGTGTGTGTGTGTGTGTGTATCTTCAAGTGGGTTTGAAAACAACTTTCTCTTATAAACCCACTATACAAGATAAATAGCTATTTAAAACCAATATCTCATTTTCATTTACCAGCCCTTTGGTCCATTCCATATTCCAACCTCAATCCAATAATTCACAGCTATTCTTTCGATAAACCCCAATTGAATCTCCCTTCAAGTCTCCTCCACAGGTGATTTTTGTGGTTTTCTCGTCAGTTTCGATGATTCAAAGCGTTCTCAGTTTCTCTGCCACATCACAAAGGATGAAGACTACTTGTGGTTCATGTCTAGGGTTTATTCCAATAGATGGTCTTGGCTTACCCATACGTGTGCTATGGAAAAGAAATCTTTTCAAGCATAAAACTTGGACCTCGCAAGCCATCATCGAGCACAGTTCCCAGGATAACTATTGGGTTCCTTGTAAAGTGTTTCGGTGTGGTGAAAGACATATATTTTTGGGTCCCACCAAAAGCTTAACGAGTTCCAAGGCACTACCAGTTGATATTGACTGCAAACTCGATGCCGACTTGTTGCGTTCTGCTCTCGGTTTCTATCGCATGCAACGGGTTTCTATACTGATGTCCTTAGGAACGCTTTTTTACTTTCTGAGACTCAGAAGAATGCAACCCAACCGTTCTTCTTTTCCTCGTTACCTTCACTGGAGGAGCATACTCGCTATTCTGTACAAAACGTTGCTATTCCAGTGGAGTCATTCCATTCAAATCGTTCAACATTTGATTCAAGATATGAATTTGACTCCCATAAAAGTGCTCATACAAGACGAAGCATCGTCTATTCATGCCGATGAGAAAAGCCCTAATATGCATGCTCAGATATTCTTCACTTTTTCTCAACGTCAGTGCTCTCTTTATGCTCCTCGTTCCTTTGCCATAGCGGTGGCTACAGCGTATCGTATTCCTATTTATGTGAGTCGCTTGCTTGTTGAACGCAACAGTGTCTATCCTCAAGTAGATTGCAGAGGAAAGTGGTACATTGCCAATGAAACAACTTGCGGTGTGACTCGTCTATCTCGAAATGCACCTATATGGAAATATCGCATTTCAGAATTGGAAAAGATGGAAACACAGCAACTATGCAATATTATGATACGCTCAGGTATTCCTTGTAGTAGGGCACATACACACCAAGAGTTGATCAACCAGTTGATACCTTTCATGGACCGTATACAGAGAAGAAGTGTATCCATATGGAGAGAACTTTGGAGAAGAAAGATGTACAAATCGTTGAAAAGGAAACTAGCTTAGTGATTACAGTGCTATCCGGTTCAAAGAGTGTGGATAAGGAAGTTTGGAGAATCGTTGAAAAATGCCAATGCAAATAATGGAATGTTGGTTTTGTCGGGTTTGATTGGATGAAATCATTTTGGATCCTAAGCTTACAATAAAAGCGCGCCAATGGAAAGTGTACATCCTGGAAACCACAACTTGGATACTCTCTCACATAGTCAGATATCCAAAGAGGAAGAAACCTTCCCTAGTCACCAATTATATACCTTTCAAGCACCTTGGCTAGTATATGGACTAGCTTGGTGCAACCGTGTGGTAAGTGGTTCACCTCTCTCTTGGGTCACTCTCCGTTCTTAGAAACCCTAGAACAGTCCCTATTCACTGGCATTGAGCAGCTTCATCGAAAGTTGCAACAACAAAATTATTCTAGTTGAGCTCAACGACAAAACCGAAGATTTTCAACAAGTCGTTCAAGTAGACCACCCCTACCCAGCAAGCAAAGTTGCTTTCATTCCTGATTATTCTGGTACCAGACCTCAGCTATTGGCAACTAGTGGAGACGCTTTGAGGATCTGGGAGTGGTCTAATGACAACTTAAAGAGTAAAGCACTACTCAGCACAGTAAGTATATTGACGGATTTCCTTGCTGAATCTACCGATGTTGTGTAGAACCCAGAGAGTGAATATTGTGCCCCACTCACGTCTTTTGACTGGTGTGAAGTAAATCCAGCGACCCTCTGTACCTCGTCTGTTGATACGACCTGTACCATTTGGGATGTGGAAACACAGCAAGCCAAAACGCAGTTAATAGCGCACGATAAAGAAGTATATGACGTTGCTTTTCAAACAGGAACGGATAAAATTTTCGCATCAGCTGGTGCAGACGCTTCGGTTCGTTGTTTTGATTTGCGAAACCTGGAAACTTCCACTATTTTATATGAAATACCTGATGATTCAACCCCTATCTTGCGCATCGGCTGGAATAAAAAGGAGCCCAACTACATGGCTGCTTTGGTGATGGACTCGAGTAAATTTTTGTTGTTGGATATTCGTGTTCCTTCATTACCTGTAGCAGAAATGGAACACAAACTAACCAACCACAAAAGACATAAAAGTGTCAATGCTATTCATTGGGCACCTCATTCTTCATCGCATATTTGTTCTGCTGGAGATGATTGTTATACATTGATATGGGATATTTCCGCTATCCCTCGACCTATTGAAGAACCGATTCTTTCTTATCAGTCGGATAGGGAAGTAAACAATTTACAGTGGTCCGCAGCAGATCCGGATTGGATAGCCATTGCGGCTGGTAACAAGATGCAAATCTTGCGTGTATGAGAGGAGATTCAAATAGGATAAAACCCACATAACTTTACAAAATGATGATAATCAGTTGTCTTAATATTACATAATGATACAAAGGAACTACTAAATTATCGATTTGAGTGGTAAATGCTTCTAACATTGTAGACAACAGATAACTAGTGATTAAAATAACAAGAGTATGCAAGCTCATCTGTCGTAGTGAGAAATGGATGCATTGACTATATAACACGTAGCCACTGAAAACACCCAACAACATTCCAGAGAATGTCCCTTCCATTGTTTTACAAGTTCCAGGCCATTTTCTTTTCCCAAAAAATGTCCCAAAACAAGCGGTCACAGTATCTACGACACCCAAAGTCACCATTCCAGACATTCCTAATAAGCTGCATGGTGGGTTTTGCCACAATGTGAAACAACTACCTAATAACAAATAGAGATGTGTCATATATATTGTACCATTGTCTCGATGATCGATCAATGCAGACATATAATCATTTACCAACCAACGAATCCCATAAACATGTGATGCACGTCCCAACTCGATAGTTATCAACAGAAATAAAGCAATGATAGAACAAAGACGGATAAAAGCTGCTTCCACAAATAAACTCGGCAGTAGAATAAAGAATAAAACGAGATGATAATATTTCCTTGAAACAATAGGCACCAATGAAAGGCGATGAGGAGGATAAAGGAATAGAACCAAACATAACAAAACGATCCAATAAACGGTTAGCCATATAGCTGACCAACTGTTGACGATATAGTTGAAGAGAATCCTTTCAGGATTGGAAACAAAACAAGTCACCCACAAATAACAAAACACTAAATCGACCAAAATGAAGCCAACAAAACAACAACTATTCAGAATGGAATAAGAATTTTTTCCTTGTTCTCCAATGCAATGATTTTTTCCAACACGACAACCAGATGACGCAAAAAGATAAGAATAGCCAAAAAAGAATAGCACGATAGCCATTCCAACGGCACAGCTCATCTTATGTAATGGATAAACTTCTTCATGAAAGACAAAGTCGTCATTGGATGGCGGTAATGAGGTCCATATACAATAAACCAACAAACTTACGCCACTCTCCGAGATAATGATGGCTTCGGCCAAAGAAAAAGAACCTTGTAGGCAGTATATACAAATACGCATAAATAAAGGAAATAAGCAGTTAGTTATTGCAATCAAAACCAAACTAGTCAAGTTGATGCTGGATACAAATATCAAGCAAGATATCAAACTGATAATGAAAGATAATAGCCATTCACGCAACACGATGACTTGTGGAGTTTTGTCTAGACCATCATAGTTTCCTCCGGCTATACTAACCAAGACGAGTACACCACTAGCTACACAAACTGCAAAAAGTATAGAGAATATACCGCTGTCTTTAACATTAACAGGAACAAATAAAAGAGGAAATATACAAATTCCGACTGCGAGTCCTGAATCTGCACGAGGGCGAAGAGGAGCTTTGTGGTAGCGACCTTTTAACGAGTCTCCACGACTAGTATTCGTAAGAGAGGAGTCAAACGAGAAATTTATCACGGTTTCCACCACAGGTCGTAAATAGAACGAACCCACCGCAAGAGCCAAAACGCTTGCCTGTTTGGATAGTGTCTGTTCTATTTTTCTTCCAGCGAAAAAATAAAGCAATACTGAAACCAAGACTAGTATATCTTCAATGAATAAAGGGAACTTGGGCGATAGAAACCAAAACAAAGACGATTGCGTCATGACGACTGTTTTCGCGTTTCTCATATGTAAAGACATACCTTCAAGTTAACTACACATTCAACACACAGTTTCTCCGCAATAGAACAAAAATACGAGGGCTTTAATTCAAAGGATGATATTCGGGGAAGGATTTTGCAATCAAAATCATTCAGACAACGTATTTCTTTATTACTATCGAAATATCAGTAAACATTTATTCTTTGTTTATTCAGAATGGACCCATCAAGTCTTCACAAAAACGAATACAACTGAAACAATCCTAATGTTTCAACTCAAGCAAAAAACTATTCAAAAAGCGATGTGATTCGTTAAACAGTGGAAGAGAATGTCAATAATGGATAATAGACAGAATGCATAGACTTTTGTTGGGTTCTATTTGAAAAACTGGTGTTTGAATCTTCATCACTTTCCAATAATTCAATATCTGAAGAAATTTCAAAACTGCTATCCCCTGAAGAGACTGAATCTACATCTGAGTTATCTGAATCATTATATGCAATGACTCGCTTGCGACATTTCCTCGTAAAACAGTTTTCCTTATCTACCTCTTCTCCTTCTCCTGTATAGTGAGAATGAAGCAAATTTTCACTATCTGAACCGATTTTGTTATCCATTTTTCGCTCCTCTAATGGTCTTCTGGTCGACTCTTCATTAGAGCAGCATATATCCATAGTTGGAAGAGAATCTTCTCTTGAAGAAATAAGTGACAAGATTTCACGAAGCTTCTGAGCAAGCACGCGATCACGAGGAGCTTCGGAATTTTCAATTCTTCCGATACATTCTGAAAGTTCTTCAACTGTTGAAAGAACACTTGCAGAACGCGAGTTATTATGACTTGCTTCCTCAGTGTAAATCCAAAAGCTATTGCTGTTTGGCTCTTGATTTCCAATGTATGTGAACTCGTTACCTTTTGCGTCTTTCCCTAGCCCTCTACAACGAATATTATTGATTTCCATAGGGTTTCTTGGAGGAATAGCCTTGCAACGTTTCCTTTTTACTCCACTTGGCTGCTCTATGTAACCTTGTATATAGTTACGGATGGATTCGCAAGTCTCAGCAACTCTTTCACAAAGATATTTCAATAGAATCAGCCGTTGTGTTGGACGAAGAGAAATATAGTCCGTAGTTTGTAAGAGGGAAACCCCTCTGCTATCGTACAAGGATATCTCTTCCTCCCCTTGACAAGTATGAAGCAAATGTACAACTTGATAATACTCTCTTTGCTTTTTAAGTTCATTTCGTATATTGGATAGCCAAGATCGTGGTCCTGTACTAGCAGTAGAAGTTTTTCTTCCCAATTGATTCAGCAAACAAACGTGAATAATACTTATTAGTCTGAAATTATAGGGTTCTAAAGGATTTATGAGAGAATCTAGTATTAAAAGGGGATGTAAACGTTCGATCACCAGATATTGGTCAAGGTGAATAATCTTTCCAAAAGCAAACAAAAATTGTACAATGGATGCAAACTCCCAGCTCCTCTTTATAGTATATTCTTCTGTATACATAGAGTGTATATCACTAGAAGAGTTCTCAAAACGTGAAGTTCACAAAGAGCTGAGACGTCCTGACAACAACAACAGTGAATAGGGGAATCAATCCCCATTCTGCTTTCCTATCTCGAGAACAAAATGGCGGGTCATCCATTTGAAATGGATTGATTTGATTAGGCTTTCCAAGAAATTTGTTTTTGGCGCATTGAAAAATGGAACAAGTTGCTCTATTTAGAGTCCCATTGCACTTGGAAGACCTCTTTAAAGAAGAATCGGAGGGATATCATGTAACAGAGGAAGACATTGAAAAATACGAAACGTCTGTGGATATTGACGAAGATGAACTATCCCGACTGTGGTTTCTACCTTTTCCAAGCTTATCACACGATGCATGGTGTCAAGTGTTCTTGGGAGTATACAACTTTCGCACTCTAGAAGATGAGAAAAAGGAAACGCTTTATTGTATTGTAACGAAAGGAGTTGAAAACGCACTGGAATATTTGCGAGAAGTCCAAGACCCAGACATTGCGAAAAACCTGTTGAAAGTAACGGTAGGGAATATCAACAGTTACATTGTGGGTTTTAACGGGATGGATAGACTTTTATATTGACTCATTTTATTGTTGAAGTACAAAAGGCGCATCTCGATGAAATACGAGAACAGTCTCCTGAGGAACTATCAAAGACTCAAATATCAAATATTTCAAAGAAGACAAAACAATCAAAGTCGAAAGAGAATCATAAATGGAATTGGAATGCGGAGAAAATAGGTGTGACTTTAGATTGGGTACTTAGACTATTGGAGAAGTGTTTCTCTAAAGAGGAAACAGCATATGAAGTAGGTGACAAGGAATTCATATCCTTATTTGCACGTGTATGCTACGTATTGATCGAGGACAACCTTGTCTGCAGAAATCGTGAGCTGAAAGAAGTCATCTTTGCTATTCTCAAAGTCGTTTTTGAAACTTTGCACTACCGACCTAGTGCAATCGCTGCTTTGCTTCATCTTGTACGCAAATATGAACATGCAGCTCCTCTCATAGCAGAGCTTATTTACTATCTCGACAATAACTATTTGAGGGGATCATTAGGAGCAGAAGTAATCCAAGAAATATCTCAGTATGACCCTGTGGAGTTGTCTAAAGCTCCTGCGAACTCCAAAAATATAGCAACTTTTCTATGTGAACTTACTGACCGATCTTCGGCAGGTATAAAGGAAAACCTGAGTTTGTTAGTTGACCAACTCGATTGCGAATCCTATTTTGTTCGCAATAGTGTTGTTCATGCGTTAGGTCGTTATCTTCTATTTACATCTTCGGAAAGCAAAGTGGAAGGAAATGATGAAGTGGAAATCACCGCAGAATTAAGAAGCTCTCTTTTCGATATTCTTCTGAAACGAGTTGATGACATTCACGCGTTTAGCAGGAGCAAAGTACTTCAAGTTTGGCAAACTCTTGTGGAGAATCGAGTTGTTCCTCAGTCTCTGTTTCCATTACTGATGCAACAAGTTGTTGCAAGACTTCGGGATAAGTCTTCCATCGTTCGAAAGAATAGCATTGCTTTGTTTGAGTCGCTGTTATCGAACAATCCCTTTGGACCTTCTCTTGTGTTAGCGATCTATGAAAGCAAGCTCAAGTCTTATCAAGAAGATGATTCGCATTTACAAAAATTTTCTGAACCTTCTCAACTTAATGATTCTAATACTTCCACGGATAAAGAGAAAGCAATGGAATTCTATCAATATGCTGTTCATTTCATCGTCAAGATTTCCGAAGCTATTCAAATGTTAAGTTCACTTGTATGGTCGAGAAGTAGCTTAGATGTTCAAGAAGCCATATCATGCATTGTTACTGCAAGAAAATTTGAAGTGGATAATTCGAATGTTGCAGTTCGCTCTATGCTTGGTCTTGTTTTTTCACGAGATACAAACATTCGTTCTGCAGTTATTGAAGCATATATTCGATTGTTTGTTGGGGACAACGAAAAGGATTGTTTGCGACGTGGTATGGATGTAATACGAGGCGTGGTTCAGTTGGTTTCGGGTGCAACAATTGGTGAAGTTGCATGTGTTCAAAAATTGCTGGAAGAATTTGCAGCAAAGAAACTCATTGATAGCAGAACTATTCAAATGCTTTGGGATATTGTTTTCGAGAAAATACCTGGCGTTCAAAAGAAGCAGAAGAAACCTTCACTGTTGGTTCTAACCCTAATAGCCCCCAGTTTGCAAGTTTTGATTTCAGAACAGCTGGAAGAAATGCTACTTGAACAAATGAAAACATGGATTCGAGAGGAATGTGAGTTGTGTTGTTTTGCCTTTCGTATTTTACAACATTCGCCCACTATCTTGAAGAATAAGGTAGTTTTGCACGAGCTTGGTTCCGAGTTACTTGGTAGTTTGAATTTAAGAGAAAGAAAAATGGAGCAGTTTGAGAGGTTTTTAACTTCCAGACTCTGTCTTCTTGAAGAATTTTCCCGCACGATTTACCGTTGCGATGAGAAGCCGTCTGCTATTGCCGCCTTTATACTGATGTCACTATATGAACAACTCTCTTCGGCTTTAGTTGAGAACTCGACGAATGAAGATAACACTGGTGATCATTTTGAAAATTTATTGGAGTCATATGCTCTGAATACATTGTGCATCTTAGCGTCATTGTTTCATTTCTCGGGTCATGTTGCCCTAAACGAATTATCTCTATGGGAAAGTTTTATACGAAGATACAGAGAGTCAATGACAAATAAACAAGTTGAAGATGGAACAAAAGACATCGATGCTGAAGAAATCGTACCCGAAGAGCAGGAAGACACCAGTACAAATGAAAGATATTTAGATGCTCTATTAATTCATGCAAAGCAGGAAATAATTTCGAAACAAGGAGTTGTGGGAAAGCTTGCCTCTCTTGCAGTAGGAGTGATTCTACAAAAACATTTCTATCCGATGATAAAAGCCTGTGCAATATCATATATAACCAAATTGATGTGCGTTGATGAAAGTTTTTGTGAACAACACCTTAAAGTTGTATTTACGGTTCTTGCTTCAGAGGAGCCTGCTTCCATCCGTGCAGATATCATTATTGCGTTGTGTGATCTTGCAGTCCGCTATCCCAATCTCATCGAACCATGGTCTTCACAAATCTTCCGCTGCTTACAAGACAGCTCAATCGAGGTTCGAAGGAACACTATGATGTGCATCACATTTTTAGTCCTCAACGATATGATGAAGGTCCGTGGTCAGGTGTCAGAAATTGTGCTTTGTTTGGTAGATAGCGATTCGCAAGTTTCCAATATGTGTCACTCGTTCTTCTTTGAAGTTTCCAACAAGAGCAAAGGCTTTATATATAATATCCTTCCAGAAATAATATCCAGTCTTTCTAGTATGAAAGACCTTCCCGAAGAACATTTCAAAACCATCATGAGTTTTCTCTTTAGTTTTATTGATAAGGAACGTCATACGGAAGGTTTGGTGGAGAGAATTTGTCAACGTTTTCGTTTATCTGATGATGTATCATGTTGGAGAAGCCTGGCTTATTGTTTGAGTTTGCTTTCCTATTCAGAACGTACCATTGGCAAGCTTTCAAGTATGTTAAAATATTACGGGGATAAACTACACGATGCTGTGGTATTCCAGACATTTTGCAATATTGTTTCCAAGGCAAGAAAATTTTCAAAGACCGAGTTTCGTGCCTTTCTTGATGACTTTGAGGAGAAGTTGGTCGAGTGTCAACGAAAGCATGAAGACCCTGATGAGAATGAACAAGTTACTCAGACAAACGAGTCAGTTGATAATAACAAAAATCTGAAAGACGAAAAACGAAAACTTGTAAAGAAACAGATTCGAATTGTTGAAGAAACGAGTGAAGAAGAGCAAGATGAGGAGGAAGATGAGGAGCCACAAGAAGTCATAAAAGAGTGTCCTGTTCCGATAACTGAAGACTATACTTCTTCTGAGCACTTGAGTCAACAAATCAAACGATTATCTCTTCGACAGGTGTTGCGACAACGAAAATAAAGTGTTTTATGGTTCATGAAGCTGTTGTTGAATATGTGCCGTTCCATTATCACTCCAAATAGGTTCCTCTTGTGAAGAGTTACTCACTTGAAAAGGATCTAAGATGCCAAAGTTGACGGAAAATTGTATGACAAGAGGTAGTTCCTTACCTTCTTCTGTAGATTCGATGTGGGCCAGTACGGTGGGTAGTGACAACTCTATACACCATTTCAACCCAAACCAACTCAAACAAACTTACATACCTTCAAAGGGAAGCGTTTCTTTCCACCAACTGTCGTCAACTATATCAATCCAACTACCTTCTTGGTGTACTGGAGCGGAAAAGTTCGAGTCCGACATGGTTCAAAAATATTCAACTTGGGTCATTGTAACCATTATTTAAGAGAAAACCTTGAGTTTTATTCCACACAACTCATCTTGTTCTATCCTCTACGAATGGAAACCAAAACATTCTAAAAGCTAGTGCAAGTGTCTTCGTAAACGATCCAACTCCTCAAGTATCTTATCCTTTCTATCTTTGGAAGGCAGTTTCTTTCCAACCCCTGGATTAGAAACAGTTCAACTCAAACTAATCACACTTACCATCGATGCTTCACAGCTTGTCAAGCTTGCCAAAGCAGCTGCACAATTTTCTTCTTTGAAACCATTTTCCCTCAAACACGCTAAAAATCGGACGACTTCAGTTTGACACGGTGCCTTCCTTCTCTCGTTGTACTGTGCAACTAGTTTCCTTTTAGGTAACTGGCGCATCCACTCTCTTGTCTTCAACATGATCTCCAAGTTTTTCAACACTTTGCCAACATAAACTCTTTGTATTCTCCACTCGAAAGACACAAAATACGGTCCTCCTTTCACTCCTTTTTATCCTTCTCAATCAATCCTTTCATCCATTCTTAAGAGATATGATTCTGTTGCCTTTTATACAGTGACTGAAATGCATTGTTTCAACGGAGAACATTTATATATAAAAAGACGGTTTATACAAACATAATATAGTAGCTATTTGTAATTCAGTTGATTCTTTTTCATTCATTAGATTCAGGTCTCATGGATACTCTTACAACTCTTCTATGACGAATGATTGAGTGGAGGGTTAAGATGGGTGGAGAAAAAGCGACTTGGATGTTGTTATCTGCCAATTGTCTGACACTCGTTGCCTTCCAACCTCTAACTTATCTTCCCAGAAAAACATGTTTTCGTTGCTTCACCTGTTATCCTGTATATAGAACTGCGCGGGTGCTTAACTCACACTTCCTTTTCTTTACACTTTTACGTTGTCAATCAGAGCTATCCGACGAAATACCTGCAGAAAAGCCTTCTCTCATTTATCAGAAAAGAAGAATACCTAAGAAACCTGTAGAACCTCGTGTCTATCTTCCTTTTAGTGAAGCAGAAGATGCCTTTCTATTGCTCTGTTATGAACGATATAAGTATTCCTTTAAAGAAATTGCCGTGCGTCTAAAGAGAGATGATGCAAGCATAAGTACGAGGTAAAAGTTACTTCAAAGTATAGATAACATTTAACTTCTTTTCAATGATAGATATGGATATCTATCAGAAGCCAGAAAGAACAAACCTTTTACCCCTGAAGAGGATGAAAGGCTAAGAAATAGAGTGCAGTCGTTCACAGGTGCCGTTCCTTGGAAAGAACTGTCCAAGGAGTTTGATAATCGACCCTATGAAGTGCTCTATAGAAGGTATACAATAGAACCTTTTTTTGATATCTTCTGCATCGCAATTGGATAGGTATTTTGATATCTTGGAAGGTCTGAAGGATTACAGTCCTTGGACTCCTGAAGAAGACCAAAAGCTATTGCAACTAGTAGGAAAGTGGGGTCATCAATGGACTTTTATCTCTCGTTCCCTTCCAGGAAGAACACCTTATCAATGTTTTTATCAGTAAGTGTGTAGAATATGGGAGAATAGAGAGAAGCAGTAACTTGATATGTTTTTCTAGTTATCATTGGGCAATAAAACCAGGGTTAAAGAAAGGAGAATACAGTCCCTATGAAGATGAAATATTGTTGAAGTATTATGAAAAGTTGGGTCCCAAGTGGAGCAAGATTCGCAAGTTTCTTCCATGGCGTGCCGGAAGTAGTTTACAAAAACGGTATTCACTTTTTGTCCTTTTTTCATCGTAGAAAATGAAAAATGCTTCTAGTTGGCGCCATTTATTTAACTTAAATAGGACTCGAAACTTTGGTTTGTACACAGAACAAGATGATCAGTTGCTCCTTAAGCTTTTTTCGAAATATGGAAGAAAATGGACCAAAATTTCTGCAGAGTTCAAAACGCGAAGTGAAAAACAGTTGAAAGGAAGGCAAGTTCTTTATTGCTTGTTTTCACAATACATCTAACGCAAGAATCAGATTTGATAAACTGAAGCAAGTGATAAAGATACCTGAATTGGAGTGGACACCTGAAAAAGATGAAAAATTGTTATACTATCATAGAATTTATCATAAAAACTGGTATTATATATCACAAAGGATGATTTATTTTGGTCCGAAAGAATGTGAGGCAAGGTATGTAGAAATTTATTTTTGTGACCTGATAATACCACATTCCACAGAGTGCAAGAACTTTTGTCCAAGGATAACGGAAAGCTTCAAGATGCTCATGGTGAAGATTTAGGCAGCTCACTATCCACTTCTTCAGAAATGGAACCTCGAAAAGTAGATGGCAATGTCGACAACTGAATAAAGTCCATTTGTTTAAGATTAGGGGTTTTGGGGATGAAGATTCCTATCGATGATCTTATCGTATATTTTCCATATCCATTCATATATCCCGAACAATATTTGTATATGAAAGAACTCAAGAAAACGCTGGATGCAGGTGGACACTGTATACTGGAAATGCCAACAGGCACTGGAAAGACAGTCACTTTGCTTTCTTTTTTTGTTGCTTATCGTGCAGCACGTGCTTCAATTGGAAAGCTGATATACTGTACTCGTACTGTAGGAGAAATAGATAAAGTTTTAGAAGAACTTGAACGAGTATTAGCATACAGAAGAGACTGCAATGTGGATGTTGCGTCGGAAAATCAACTTGTTGCAGTGGGCCTGACTACTAGAAGAAACCTTTGTTTACTTCCAGCAGTAAAAGATTCTGAAACCAGAGAAGAAGCAGATTCCAAGTGTAGATCACTGACCGCTTCGTGGGTTAGAGAAGGTATCACTTCAAGAAGCTCTGATTCTTTGTGTCCTTATTATGAAAATTTGCAGCAAAAAGGAGAACTGTTTCAAATTCCTCCTGGTGTATACTCTATGTCATCTCTAAACGCTTTTGGTGAAGAACAAGGAATATGCCCTTATTTTACTGCCAGGAGGTCCTTACAGTATGCTTCCATTATTGTTTACAACTATCATTATCTATTGGTGAGTAGGTAAATGACTCGAATGATGAAAATTGTTGGATACCACTACATCTATATTAGATATGTCAATGTCTTACACTTTTTTATAGGATCCCAAAATTTCGCGAATGATTTCCACCGAACTGGAAAGAGACTGTGTCGTTGTGTTTGATGAAGCTCATAATATCGACGATGTCTGTATTGAAACAATGAGTGTTCATTTGAAGAAGGATACCATTCAACGTTGTTACCAGAATTTGAATCATCTTTCTGGACTAGTGCAAGATGCCAAACAACGGAATGCTCAACAACTTTTAGAAGAATATCAAAGAGTACTTCGGGGAACACCATTTTTGGCAACTTCTGAAACCGACGCCTTGTTAGCTGCACCTGTTCTTCCCGACTCGGCTTTGCAAGAAACGATTCCCGGAAATATTCGCAAGGCAGAGCATTTTCTTCGTTTCCTTAGAAGAATATTGGAATATGTTCAAAATGTGATGCAGCGCAATGTGGCCACTCAGGAAAAAACTGGGGCTTTTTTGCAGTCTATGGCAAGTTTATTGCAGTCAGACTTTAAAGCTTTGAAGTTCTCATCGGATCGTCTCCAATCACTTATTCAAACGTTACAAATAACACATTTATTGGAATTTCAACCTATTCAAACATTGGCAGATTTCGTTACTATTCTAGGCTCCTATCCAACAGGTAATGCATTTGTGGTTATTTTTGAGCCTTATGATGAAAGATATCCTTCTATTCCTGATCCTTTATTACAACTGGCTTGTTTGGATGCCTCCTTAGCTATGCAGCCCGTCTTTTCCCGTTTTCGGTCCGTCATTCTAACTTCTGGAACTATTTCACCCATTGAGCTGTATTCTAGAATACTTATGTTTACTCCAGTGACAGCAAAAAGCCTTACGATGAGCTTTCAACGAAGAAATGTTTGTCCCATGATCGTTACTAGAGGTGCCGATCAGTTACCTGTCAGTTCCAAGTATGATTATCGTCATGATCCATCTGTAGTGAGAAATTATGGAACACTAGTAATGGAAATGGCAAGAATAGTGCCCGATGGGATTGTTTGTTTCTTCACGAGTTATATTTATATGGAAACCATGATACAACTATGGCATGAAATGGGAATCATTAAAAAGATTTCTGAATATAAGTTGATATTTATTGAAACTCCAGACAACTTGGAGTGTACGTTGGCATTGAAAAATTATCGGAAAGCATGTGATTGTGGTAGAGGTGCCTTATTCATGTGCGTTGCCAGAGGAAAGGTAGCAGAAGGAATTGACTTTGATAGACATTATGGACGCTGCGTGATCGTATTGGGAGTTCCTTTTCAGTATACAGAGTCTCGTGTGCTTCGTGCTCGATTGGAGTTTCTCCGAACCAACCTTCAAATAAGCGAAGGAGACTTTTTAAGTTTCGATGCAGTGAGACAAGCGGCGCAATGTATAGGAAGAGTCATCCGTTCCAAAACAGACTATGGAATCATGGTGTTTGCTGATAAGAGGTAAGTTTTTTATTGAAATGAAATTGTACCTCGTTAACTATTCGATTGGATTAATCAGATTCAACCGACCCGATAAGAAGAACAAATTGCCCAAATGGGTACTCCAGTTTCTTGACGATGCGCATTGTGACTTATCAGTAGATATGGCAATCAGCATAGCAAGTGCTTTCTTGAAACAAATCGCTCAACCCTTCCATGCAGATGCTGGAACAGGAATAGCCCTCATCAGTGAAGAGCAACTGCTTGAGTTGATGGAAACCAATGATAAAAAATGGGATTCCATGGAGCACTCCAATTATTTTCTTAGTTCCAAGGTATCACAAGTATGAGGAAAATGATCATTTGCAACGACTATCGTTTTTTTCTCCAAATAGAAAAAACAATTCTGTTTCTTCCCTTTTGATGTATTCTTTCTACTTGGTCGGTGGAATAATATGTTCCAATTCCTTTGCATTGCGCATTGGGTGGTAGTGCATAGAAATATAACCCATCGAAAAAAGAGCAACGCAGCTTACAATAGAAAACAAATAAACTGGGCGTCCACCCTGTCGAAACAATTTCTATGCACATTTCAGATATCAGTAAAGACTGTCATCCGAAGGTTCCCCTGAAAACTCCACCTTTGGGTTGCTAGGAGCTGGCTGACTAGCAGTAACATATGATTTTGCGAGTTGTCGAATAGCCAAAAGCTCTTTTTTCCAAGAACGAATATCTTGAGCTGGAAAGCCTGCCCATACACTTTCACTGGGTGCATTCTTGGTAAGTATAGAACATGCAGCAATGTCAACATGATCCCCAACCTTGAAAACATGAAAATGAGTGTCACATACTGGTGATAAACACAAATAACTAACCGTCACATGATCAACAACTCCACTGCGTCCAGCTAGACGAACATAACTACCCAAGGTGACACTGCCAGCTAGACCTGCTTGTCCACAGATAAAAGCAGGGCCGTGGATGTGAACATTGTGACCAATTTGCACCAAGTTATCTATCTTTGTGTGATCACCGATAAAAGTGTTTCGCCAACTTCCACGATCAACGCAGCTATTGGCTCCGATTTCAACATCGTTACCAATAACAACCTGGAGGGTTTGTGGTTTCTTAACAACTCTGTGACTCTCGTCAAAATAAAAACCGAATCCGTCCTTAAACACAGTTTTGGCTCTAAGTAATTCGATGGTTACAAAAAACCTACTTGTCCGACACGAACACCACTATGAATCACACAACGATCACCAACTCGACAGTTTTCAAGCGTAACGTTGCAACCAATATTACAATCAGCACCAATAGAGACAAAAGGCCCAATAACAGTGTTGGAACCGATTCGAGTACCTTTACCAATCTTGAAAAAAATTAAAAGGCTTTCTCAAAACAGTTTTGCACGTACAACGGCCGACTGATGCACAACACAGTGTGGATCAAGTAACGCTTCGTCGCTGACGTTTGCTTCTGAATGTATCAGAGCAAAATTTCTTTTCTACTTGATAAGCAAAAAAAGAAAAAAAAAGGCTAACGGAGGAAACGAACCTACTGATTCTATACTCTCCCATGGCCAGGTTAGCAAAAGATCCTCAAAAAGTTAATTTGACGAAAAGGTAACAATCGCAGTGTGAAGACGTCGACCAAATACATTTGACTTTAAATAGAATTCTCATAAATTATTATTTTTTGTTTCTTTTTGATAATAATGGCAAAAATTTTTAAATAGTATTAACAATACCTTTTGAAACTTTCGTTGATTTCATTGAAACATGAGAGCGAAGCCTTGAGTTTTTTTTCTTAATTTTTTGATGTGTGAACAAGAATTATTTTTTTTGACTTGATTAATTTGTTTAATAGCTTTATCTTAGCAGGGACAAAATATTTTTAAATTTTTTAAATTGCATTTGATATTTTAAGCGATATTTTAAAGGTTTTTGTGCTGCAACCAATTTACATTTTTTAATTTTTTTGCAGTCAAGCTTGAGTTAAAGCGCGTTGCGGGATTGCCTTTTTCTCTATGTTTAGTGCTGTTCTTGCTTTACTTTTATTACTTGTAGTTATTTTTTTTCTTTTCTCGTCGGTTCGAAGGGTAGATAAGCACAGTACAAGTGTAACAGATCACAGAATCTCGAAACCTTCTCGCAAACCCTCTTATCGTGTAAGTTTTACTGAGTACGTTTAGTTCGTTGTGATTGCGTTTAGGCTGGACAGAAGTTTACCTTAGTTGAAGTCTCTTCACATAATCGTCGAGACGATCTATGGCTTGTGATAGATGGAAAAGTTTATGACTTTACGTCCTTTGTTGAGGATCATCCTGGTGGCGACGCCATTTTAAGATATGCTGGCGGTGATGCTACTTTTGGTTTCAAAGGTCCACAACATCCTGATCGAGTTTGGGATATGGTAATATTTTTATTTGTAGTGAATTTTTTGTTATCGTCTCTAAATATTTTAATGCTTTTTATAGATACCTGATTATTTTATTGGTGAACTAGAGAATCCTAGAGAGTAGAGTGGCAGTCTTGTGATCCTCTTGATATGGCGTCCTTTGTAATTTTCTGAAAGACATAGTCTTTGTTCTCTTGTGCTCAAGATTTGAATATTATTATTATTATTATAGAGAATTGAAACGAGGTTTGTTCAAGATCCAATTCTCTTTGCGTTTTATCTTGCAGCACATGTCATAAACATTACATGTATTTTTGTTTGAATTCTGTGCAACAGTTTTATCACAAGCTTCATGAATCATTGTGTCACCACTGGAAGAGAGCTTCATCCACTTATTATGCAATAGTGGTAGACTCAATCAGTAGCACATACATAATATTAAACTTTTTTTTCTAGTCATCCGCCCAATATTTCTCAGGTTTCTTCAGGAGACCCATTCTAGTTGAAAATGTGGGAAAAGGATATGAATCAACCCCATTTTCGCTCATTTGCTTCGTTATTATCCACGGTAGTTAGTCGACGTTTGTCTCGTCTTTTCATGACACAGTCAACTGGTATTGGTTCGGTTACAAGTAATGTAGAAAAGGATTTAAAAGGAGCTGACGAGGAACAGCGAGAGTTGATGGCGGAACAAGTTATATTGGTATCACCGGATGATGAGGTTCAAGGTTTTGCATCTAAAGCGGAAGCCCATCATGTGAGCAGTGGATTGTTGTTACATCGTGCTTTTAGCGTATTCCTTTTTGATTCTCACAAGAGACTTTTGTTACAACAACGTGCCAATACAAAGATAACCTTTCCTTTGTATTGGACCAATACTTGTTGTAGTCATCCTCTATATAATATAAAGGAAGAATTATCGAGTGATGCGGATGGAGTGAAACATGCAGCGAAGAGAAAGTTGTATCAAGAACTGGGCATATCTCCTGAAACACTTGGCTTGGAAGACTTTCAATATCTGACGCGTATCCACTATCGTGCTATGAGCGATACTACTTGGGGTGAACATGAAATCGATTACATACTCTTTTTAGTGAAAGATGTTGAATTAAATCCCTGTAAGAACGAGGTGGAAGCTATACATTATGTAGATATGGAACAACTACAGTCTTGGTTAACTCAAGCCCAATCGGGCTCGTCCCATATCCAATTGACTCCTTGGTTTATGTTTATTGCAGAACATTTTCTGTTTGATTGGTGGAAACAATTGGAAACTGATCAATTATTCCGAGTAACAGATAAGAATCATATTTATAGAGCAACCCGATCATTATTGAAAGATTGAAATCATAAATCGTTCATGTGCTTTATACACAGACAATTATATTACATACACGCATGCAAATATCTATCAACCTTTGTGAAATCAACATTTCACTTAGGTTGTGTGTTCCATAGAAAACTATTCCAAATCATCACGATAGGAAGAAATATATCTAAAGCAAACTCCTTCAGGACATAATTGCACCAACAGATTCTTCAAGTCTTCGTTTTCTATTTCTGTAGAGTTTGTGTGACTAGTGCCACTCCTTTCCCATATTCGTCTTTTAAGAGAATTCCCCAAAGCTTTGGCTACTTGAAACCCATCCATTGAAAGTTTTTCTTTAGGAAACTTTCTCTTTGTGTCTAAAATAAGTCTTCTTCTTCTCCTCTTTTCTACAGGACTGGAGTTTTCATCCAACCAGCGATCCCCTCGTTTTCCATGAAGATAATATCTTTCCAATAACAAGAATTCCTTTATCACCAAGTCAGCATCTGCTACTTGAAATATTGGAATTTCCACTGTTTTTAAAGTTTGTTTTTTTTCTGTTTTGTGTCGTCTTTGTTTCATCACATGAATACATTGTCGAAAGGTTCGAAAACAATCCATTGTAAAAGAACTCTGCGAATCATATTCCGTTTGTCGTGCGGTACCGTAAAATACTCCCAAGTGTCTTTGAGATTCCAAACTACCCGGTGGAAATATGGACCAGTTTTGTTCCAAGTCGAACCACGAGGGTTGCAATCCATCATCTACTAGTTGTCTTGCTTGAGAGTCAGTGAAACATTGACTAGAAGGTAATCTCTCAGCAACAACTTCTAAACTCCTCAACAGTTTGCAAGGTAGTTTCCCAGGTGGTGGTGCTTCATATAATACGAGATATCTGATTCGAAAGCGACTAGAAGTAAATTGGAACCAACTAGCCAACACAGTTTGGTTCTCAGGGAACCAGTGTAACTAATATTGAGTTGAAATGGGTTTTACAGTTCCTTCAGTTTGTTCTTACCTCTAAGAATTCGTTTCTGATGAGGTCATAAGCGAATCTCCTACATATAGCTTTACAAGTGGGAATCCACTGAGAAGAGAGTACCAAGTGATAGTTTGAAAACGACTAGTGGGAAGTATTGAGTGGAACAGATGAGAGTGTTTCGGATACGTACATATCCTATGAGCATATTGTTGACGACTCCCACACAAACGAATAATTGTTCGACCGTCTTCAAGTCATTATCGATAACCATTCTGTGTCTCAATACCATTGCGGAAGAAAGGAAAGCAGAAGATATGCTAGGCTCTTCTCTTTTCAGTAGCCATTCATAAGCTACTGGATGTGATAACATTGCCAAGGAAAACATACTCGACATGTTTATCAATTTCTTCAATCACATTTCTTTCTATTTAGAAAATGGTCAAGTTCAGTTGACAATTGGTTGATAGAAGAAGATGATTAGCTAAAACAGAGAAGAGCCTGCACAAAATGAAACCATCAAACATAATATTTTAAAAGATAAACAACATATACTCCACTTATATATGGTTTAAAGGCATCCAATCCTTGTGACAAGAGCATATATGAATAGAATAATAGTATTGCTTTACACAGTTCATTATGAAATGATATTGTATCTCATATTTGTTTGAAACAAAGTAATGAATACATAAAGTATATCTCTAAGAGTCTTGATAAGATGTTCTCAATTGTTTCCAAATATCCAGACTTCCTTTGTGGTTCTTATCTAAACGTATAAAAGTGGGTTTTCTTTTGCCTTGATGACATCGCTGGATAGTTTCTGTCTCTCTACTCTTCTCTTCTCTTTTTCTCTTTCTTTCTTTAAACTTTCTTTTCTCTTTAGCTTCCCACTCTTGTATCGCTTTCAAAGGATCTTGTTCTTCCACTTGTCCTTGGTTTTCACCTCGTCTCTCCTCTTCTGTTCTACAAACATACCAAGGAACTTGTAAACTATCTTTTAAATTATCTTTGATGGTATTGTTAAGAATTGTATTCTTCTTCTTCTCTTTGAGTTGGTTTGCTTGTCGTTCTTCCTTTTCAAACAAGAGCACACGACCACCATCACCACTTGTGGCTGAAACTTCATTCTTTTCTTCTTCTCCACGAACTTTCTTACGCAACTTGTCCAACCTACTATCTCTTTCTCGTTGAACCTTTTCTAGTTGCCTAACCAACTGTTCACTTCAATCACTAACACCACTTTCAACTTACTCTTCTCTTTGTTCTCTTTCAAAAGCTATTTCATCTCTTTCAATACGAGCAATATTTTTGCTACTCCAAATATTCCAACTCTATAAAATATACTCTTTACATATCTTCTCTCAAAACAACAAGTGTGCACTACTTGCCTTGTGTGGTAATAAATTCATGTGGACACTCAACAACTTTTTTATTAACGAGATGATTTAGGTTTCAACCAAGAAGGAATACGACTTGTTTTCTTTGATTCCTTATCTTTTGTATGATGATGATTATACTCTTTATCATCTATGGAAAAAGAGTTATTATCATTTGTGATATTCCATTGTTCTCTTATTTCTTGAGCCTTTTTCTCTTCTCTTTCAATCACTTGTTCATAAGGGGAACTTTCTAGTCGTTGATAGACTATTGGCTGTAGTAATAGGGATGATGATGATGAACAATCTATACCTCCTAAATAAAACAATACTCCTGGACTAAAATGAGATAATTCGATATCTTTGTTGACCCAACGTCTTGGAGGTGGAGTAGTAAATAAATATATATCACGATGAATATCGGGCAATAATAAACATTTCAATAACTGATAAACTGCATCCAAAGTATCCTTTACATGAAAGGATGCTTCGATATATATTCCATCGGGTAATTTGATTTTCACTGACACGAATAAACCCATAGAATGAGATATCATAGATTGTCGTTGCTCTTTGGTCAAAAACATGGATGATTGTTGTTGTTGTTTCTGTTGTTCTGCTCTCCAAGTATGTAAATCATCCAAAGTAAACTCATAAAATGATTCTGGCAACTCCACAGCACAAGGATTCAAATTTCTATGAGTTGGTTGATAGATTCGAAGACGACCACTTTCAAACCAATTGAGAATATCGTCTTGTGGTGTGATAACTTGGCTATGATGACTTTCATTCCTAATATAATTACTTATCGTTGGCAAGCATTCATTGGATTCCTTCTCCTCCTCCTCCTCCTTATGGACATCATTCTTATCATCTGTCTTCTCGTTCTTATCAATAGATAAACCATATGATTCCGTGACCTTGTTATCCTTCTTTTCTTCTTCTTCTTCCTTTTGTTGTGCTTCATCCCGATATTCCCAATCCAATCGGAATAATACGGAACCTTTTACTATTCCCCAGTCTTGTAACTTGGTTGTTAAGTCTCTTATAGGTTGGTTGATATAATACAAAACGGGATAGGGTTTATCTTCCTTTGATGGTTGAAAGTTGTCCTTCTTTTCTCCACAAGACAAACCATATTGAGTCTGTACTCTATCCACAATAGTTTGTAAAGTTTCTTGACTGGTTGCTACAACTGTCCATCTGTTTCCCTTTTCTTCGTTCTTGAGTGACTGTATAGCAACGGTTATTATTCTTTGAGAGTCAACTGTAGAAGCGTTATTACTGCTATGTTTACTTTTGGAAACGTGAGTATCCACTTTCAACTCCAATTGACTATTAGGTGTTAGATTGGATAGTCGAACAGGTAAACCAAGGTCCAATGTTCTTCTACTGATAGGTGAATAGAGTTGAAGAGTGGATGAAGAGTTTTCCAATTGCAACTTGCGACATGCTTCTTCTCTAATAGTTGATAATAAAGTATTTGGTGTTACTTGGATGGATACTTTTTTAGGTCGACCCACATGACTGCCATCTATCCAGACTTGAAAACCAGTCATCATCCAAAGTCAAGTTTAGTTATTGGGTGTGTGTGTGTGTGTGTGTATATGGGCATGTATCAAGGAAAATGGTATCCTACACTAAAAGAAGATGAAACTTTTTTGGGTTGTGCTATCGATGAAGCTCGTAAAGGTAAACCAACAAAACAACAATAGTATTACAAATGTTGCCAAGGTTCCAAGGATTGTCGAGTGGTGACGGTGGACCTTTTGGTGCCGTGATAGTGTTGGATGGAAAAGTGATCGTTCAAGAACACAATCGAGTATTATCTTCTAATGATCCCACAGCACACGCAGAAGTTGTTGCTATTCGAAAAGCTTGTCAAATATTGAAGACCCTTCAATTACAAGATTGTTTCCTTTATGCTTCTTGTCAAGTAAGTATAAGGAAAGCACTGCTTTTTATTTATATGTTTTGTGAAGCCTTGTCCTATGTGCTTTGGTGCTATTCACTGGAGTCGTATTGCTTCTTGTAGGTATGCAGCAACTAGTAAGGACGCTGCTCAAGCAGGGTTCGACGACCAATTGTTGTATGATAAATTAAGTCACGCAACTCAGGTAATACAGAATATTTTCTCATATCATACAAAGAATAGAATGATGTGCTCTTTTAGGAAGAACCCTATGATGAGCAATCTTCTCCATCACAATATCTTCATATCGAACATCCTCGTGCAACGGAAGCATTTCAATTGTTTGCCGATATGTTGAAACAAAATAAAACTCGATTGTATTGAATCATAGAGTTCATCGTTGCTTTTTCATCAAGATGGTCATATTCCATGACTATCATAATATCGACTCCCTTTGTTACTCTGAGAAGACTGTTCCATTTGATGCATAATCCATTCATCCCATTGGCGATCAGGACNATATCGATTGGCTTGTTCTAATAAGGTTTCCCTATTCTTAGTACAACTATGTGTGATAAACAGAGTAAAATAAAATTCCCAAAGAAGAGATGAATAAGGAAAACGTTCCAATCCTCTTGCCAAAGTCTCCATAGCTTGTTGAATCTGTTTGTTATCATAAAGTGACTTGGCTTGGGTAACCAAAGAATCTATAACTTTAAAAGGTTCCTTTTCTTCTTCTCCAAGACCCACCATCGATAGGATAGATTGATGACTTAAAGATAAGTCAATATCATCGTGGTCATTCTCTTCCTTCAAAGGAATAAATAATGCAGTATGATAAATATCATCTAAACTCGACATATTTTTCTTATTCAACAATTCACAAACCACTTTTTGTACGGGTCCTTGAAACCAATGAATCGTACTTTCCTTCGATGAGAAAGACACAGTTGTTGATAACGATTCCAATTGGGAATGGAAAAGTTGTAAAAGCTTCTCATTGGGACTTGTTCCATGTCTCAACCAAAACAAGGTGGAAAAACTCTTTTCCAATTTCTTGAACAGATACTTTATGGAAGCGTATCCAGTCCAATGTTGAAACTTACAATCCGGATCACTGCAACTGCCATGAAGCTCATAACGACACAATTCAGTTTCCCAATGGAGTTCGTTATACCAAGTCAATAGTTGAGAATAATCGTGCACGAAATGAAGCAATGGATAACTAAAACTCAATATGGTCAGATGTTCACAAAAGCATAGAATACTTACCATCGAAAGGTACTCATCAAAGGCCTCAGTGCTCCAGTTGTCCATGGAGAAGGAGACCACAACTCGGGAAAAGATTTCGGCATACAAGTATTCGAAGAGTCTATTTCCTTGCTGTGAATATTTGAATTGGTTTTGTTCGATGGAAGTAACAATAATAATGGTTCGGTTTCTAAAAAGCAACTAGATGTTGGGTCATCATAAGAATATATAACAAACTCATTCATTACCTTTACTAATAAGAGACTCCATAGCTACCAAACGACGCAGTCTTTCCAATTTACGCTGATTTTTCTCTGCCATAGCAAGTGCCAATTTACGTCTTGCCTAGAAAAAGAAATCCATTTCAATTCCTTTTCTCAGATGGTGACTATAAACTTACTTCAATCTGTTCAATCTGTCTTTCTATGGAGCGTGATTGACTTTCATATTGTTGAATATCCAAACGTGACTTTTTCAATAGTTCTCTTAATAGTTTGGTACTTTCACGAGCAGCTTCCTCACAAGTACGTATACGAATCAATTTGTTGCGTGCTTCAATCTCTTCCGTTATGCTTTTATCATGTTCATCCCAAGCTTTACAAGCTTCCCTTTCTAACCTTTCTATCCAAGCTTTCGTTTCATCTGTATCAGAATCATCAAAAGACACATGTTTGGGTGACGATAACCTTTTCATAGTTGAAGAGTGATTTCCTTTTGAACCGGATTGTTTTTCTTCAGTCCCTTGAGCTTCCAAAGAAGATAATTGTGGTTGCGAAGGAGCAAAAGTCTGCCAATAGTGACTTGCTTTTGACTTGTCGTCCAATGAATCTGCTATATTTCCCTGTTTCTGTGTATTGGAATCAGTTATTTTAGGTCTTTTGTCTTTTGTCCAAGAGATTCCTCTTTGTAAGTATTGCTTCTTTCGTTGTTCCAATTCTTGAACTCTTCTTCTCAGTTCTTCCAAAGTACTCCACTTGGATTGACTTGTTCCACTTACGAGTGCATTCTTTTGGTTATTTTTGTTTTGAACTTGTTCGGTTGATGCATTATTACTACTACTACTACTACTACTACTCTCCACTGTAATAACCAAAGAAGAAGAATGATTCTCAGGATGATTAGAATTGGAAAGAGTGCTTTCTTTCACTTTTAAAGAGGGTTTGTCTCGTTCGTTTTCAATATTGTCATCCTGATGACATGCAGTCTTCTCTATATCTTTGTTTTCTATGGAAGCTTTTCTTTTCAAAGACATCTTTGCCTGAATCCTCAACTGTTCCACGGATAATGGATTCTTCTTTTGTTCTTGGCTAGTTTCATTCAATTCCTTTTGTTGTTCTATCATCGAATATTTTGTATCATTTTGTACCCTCAAGTTACTTTCCTTGCAAGTTGTTTCTTCATGACTTGAATTGATATTCTCGTGGACTTCATTTCGTTGTTGCTTTCTATGATACTTCATATTCTTTGAAGAGTTGTTATGTTTTTGAGGCATAGATTTGAAGTTTCTCATTTTCCCTTTTCGAGTTTTTATAAAAGTACCCGGAGATGATACTCGTTGTGGTGGATTCCTTTCTTTGGCATTTTTCTGTATAGAGCGATTGAAAGGAGGTGTTGTAACAACATTGAAAGAATTATCTCCGCTGAGTTGACTTTGTTCAGTTGACAAACTATTCAAAAAAGGCTTCTGTGTACTTTGTTTTATCCATTCCACCAACCACTGATATATTTGAGGATTTTGTAACCAATCCGAAGGTACAGGAAACCCTTGAGCAATGAGAGAAGAAATTACTTGTATCACTTGATATGAGTCCACATACTTCTCATATTGTCTTTCTTGTGTTTCTTGAAGGTCTACCGGCCTGGGGTTCCACTCTGTAACGAAACCAACTTGTTGAGCACTACCCACTGATTCCTCAGGCAATCCATGTTGGTTCTCACGAATTCTTTTTGGTTGCTCTTGGTTAGTGTCTTTGATATGGTTGGTTCGCTGGAGGTAGTAAGGAGGGACCGCAAACTTGTGGGTTGCTGTGTCGACGAGAGGGTTATAGGTTGGTTGTTGTTCTATAAGGGTGAATGGTAGAGGAGAATTTTCTTGCAACTCTCCGTCTTCCAACTCTTGAGAACTAGTCATAGAGGCCCAACGTTTCCTTTCCAATGTCGTCTAACAATACTCTCTCTCTCTCATTCACTCTTCGTCCCTTTTCAATTCCATCACATTTTCTTCAATTCATTTGATGAAAATATTTCCAAGGAATGGATCATTTCGTATTCTAACGAAAAGTACATATTTGCGCAACCTCAAATTTCTTGTGTCTCTTCTATAGTCTAGCTGCAATCCATTCTTTCTGCATGGACAACTATTTCATTTTGCTTAACTAGCCATATGATTTATGAATTAATTATGCTTTGTACAAAAAAAAAAGTATATGTGGAACAAAATCGTTCCTTCAATGAGTCCTTTTGAGTCAATCAATGAAATGATCTTCCCAATAGATCTCCATATTCTCTTTTAAAGACATTTTATGACTACACACCATTCATGATATGTCTATCAAGTGTAACAATCCATTCTCTAGTCAACTTTCCATCTCCGTTCATGAATCACAATTCTCCTTTCAAGTGACGAACTTTTTGTTATTCTTATCGACTGCTTCCATAACATTCATAGCAGATCGGAATGCATTTCTTCATTCGTAGTGGTACAACTCTAGAAACCTTGTACCCTTTTATAGAGTTCAAAAATGAATCAAAGTCAGCCAAAACCTTTAGAATACAGCAAACAATACAAGGCTCATCGAAAGATTTTTCAACTGAGAGAAATCTTGATCCAAAATCAAACGAATCAATTGCTTTATTGAGACTCGCTTCTTCTATTTTTGTGGGTTGTGTGCGTTGTAATCTTTCTTGATCGTAACATTCTATTTTAAACAAACTCTTTTTTTTGGAATGTTGAATGAATTGACATTGCATAGTCATTTCTTTTCAAAATAATTCGATAGATGAATGAAATCCTCTCTCAACAAATTGGAACTTCTAACGATTCATTGCATATCTCTCAAGAAGACAGCAAAATATTATGCATGCAATATGGTTATCAAAACCTTCAATGGTTTCTGTCAATATCGTCTCATAAATATTTCTGTCCATCGAGAACTTGTAAGATTACCATCACTCTCTTCTCCTTCACAGATAGAGTAAGATTGGATCAGTTTTCAGATTTGAAAAAAGGAAAAGCATTAGCAGGTTTCACCCTTTTAGATATTGTTTTTTAGCAACGAGTCAATAAGTTCGACGACTTGTTGCAAATGTTGACCAAAAATAAGGCAAATTCTTATATCATTCTTTGGGTAATTTCTATTGTTTGATATGGAACCATTACATTCAGTGTTGTTGAATATCTTTACAAATAATGGCTGAATAAACGACCAGATGATGTTGCGACTTTGCGAGAAAAATGATTGCAAAACATTTCTCATGCAATCGTCAATTCACTGTTCTAGTCGAAAACTCCAAGTTAAACCATCTCATTATTTGATGAACAGATTCTTCACCATAATATTCATCGAAAATCAGCATTTTGAATAGAAATAGAGTCAGCATAAGATTCGATTTCAATTGAGAAAGTTGGACTTTTCCAAAGGATACCGTTAAAGAAATATTCAACTATGTTTTCAATAGAACATAGTCATTCAATAGAAAGTTATACTCTTCTGTGGACCAATTGCTGCTGAACGAACGATCTTTTTGAAAGTCAAACAATGAGCCTCTCTCACCATTTCTCTATAGTACTTTGTCTCATCAGGACTCTTCTTGAAACTCTTTGAGAACCTATTCGGGACCCGCAACAGTGCTGCTTAACAAAGTTGAAAACTCCTTTTGGGAAATAACCGAGGCTAAGGTTTTGCTTTTAGAGACATTTTTGCAGTGAAGATGGGACAAGTTCGTTAATCATGTTTCTCTAAAGTCAACTCGTGTGATTCCACTCGATAAAGAACGACTCATTTATAGCTACGAAAGTTGTTGCTCCATGAACCTCAGGGGATCTTGTCCGAACAAAGGCGTTATAAAGTTTCTGCTTCAAAAAAGACGTTTATTGATTCCGAAATATATTTTAGTCTTGATTTTATCTTGGACAAGGACTGCACAAAGATATGTAGAGTGACTGATAGAGTAACACAACAACGACTAGTCAAATACCCGTGTGTTTTGATGAAGGGTTTCTTCTTGAGAAAGTAAAAGAAGACGAGTACAGATGATGTTTGCGGACAGAATGGTTTAGGGATACTTTGAGGATTCCAAGAGTCAACAGTCTATCTCACGAATCTTCGTCGAAGACCTTATTAGAGTCATGTTTCGAAAAAGAGTCCAATAAATAACTATATTTATCTCACCTATGATTGACGGTCGCATGAGCCCTCCTTTTATTGAAACCTTTCAACTGCTTAGACGCCTTGAAGCAGTTTCAACTCTGCGTGTCTTTGAGTTTCCACAGAAGTCTTTGGTAAGAGCCAAACTCTACTGAATCTCGGCTTTTCAATAGAAGTGAATGTAGCGGTATTGGTGGAGGTGGTGAGGTAGTAACCTGGACAGGAGGGAACCAGGAAGACACTATTATCGTAAACGAGGACATTATCAATATATCATGTTGATAGAAGCTTAGAAGTTATTTGAATAGCTCGTATAAAAAGTTATCACAAAAAGAATGAGACATTTGCTAAAAGAAATCGAAGTTATGATGAAATGGGTCATTGAGAGAAAGAGAGAACTCAGCAGTGTTTTACAAATGGCATAGAAAACTTTGATAAACTGGGGTCATCCTTCGCTTAAGCTGAAGTATTTGGAAAGATATTTATGTCTTCAAAACTGCTTTATTTTGGACAGAAAAGAATTCGACAGGATTTGATAACGAATCTTCATTTTATCTTTTTTGAATGACAATGGATACGTTGCTTCAGATGATCGTAGTCTTTTGCTATTCATCGTGGCTGAAATACCAGCAATGGGCCATCCATGCAGTACACGAAGGAAAAAGATTCGACTATTATCTGTTCGAAGATGTCGATTCATAAACCGGTGCTCTTATTGACAGAAGCATAGAATAGGTGTTTGTTGCTATCAGTTGCTCTGACTTGAAAAGCTCAATAGTTCCTGTGCCGAAAGGAACGGTCGCGTTCATTCTTGATCAAGCAGCCCCTTTATGAGAGTTCTATTTCTGGACGACTTGATTCAGGAGAAATGGAGTTGAGAGTTGTTGTTTCTTCTTATGGTGCGTGGTGCGTGGATGTTTCTGAAAGACCGAATGTGCACGAATAGCGACAATTTTGATTTCGAAATTTGCTCTACTCGCAAACGAACAAATATTCTTTGTCGAATAAAGGTAGACTCAATTAGTCTCTGTGTAGCTGCCTTGGAAGTGCCGGTAATTTATTCTAACTATCGTTTAAATACCTGCCAACAGAAAATAGGACTCTCTTTGTAAGACCATCGCCATAAGCTTCTTCATGTTCTTATGAGCACTGTCAATTTACTAAGAGCCCTGCATTACTTGTCAAAGAGTTGAACTTGTGTGGCAATAGGAAGAATCTTGTATGAGTGTCTTCCAGAAGTAAGAACTCTTGCTACAAGTAGTTATGGCTTGTGTCGAATTGTAACCCATCATGCCTCTGTTGAATTACTTACATTATTATGGTATTTTTCCGTTGCAAATTTAAGCTCATTTTTATTTTCAAGAGTTTCATTGATTTCGCAAAAATTCATTCATTTACTTTTTTCTGGATCTAGAGCAGTCTCAAAGGAAGAAAGGTTGCAAAAATCATTCCCATTCTGAAAACTGTTGCATAATTTGTCACGTTATGTTTGACTTTTCGAATATTTTGACGTGCCTGTTGTTCATCATGTTTCACTATCATAATGAAGAATGAAAGATGAATCTTTTATTTCCACTGATTTAGAAATAGTTCTTGGATGCTCTATCGTCATGATAATGACAGTTTTATCTGTCTCATTATAGAGTTTGCTTCTCTCCATAAAGAAAAAAAATTGTGAAGGGAATCATAATGACTGAATGTCACGTAGATGTCGACGTGCGCTATAGAATTGTCTCATGGAAAAGTGCACAAAACGATTGTATTTCAAATCATCTGTGATTTTGGGTGTGCCATCCCTGCAAGTTCCCTTTCTGTATTAAGAAAGCTCTCAGTTTTTTTTCCATATATTCTGATGCTCGGAAAATGTCGTCAAATAAGTTATTCTTATCCAAGTACTTATACAGTACAAGTTCCGAGAGGACCGGATGTCCATGTCATATTTGGAAGTAAAGTGTTGCTAGGGAACCGTACTCTATACAAGGTCTTTGCCACTACCGTATTTCCTCCAGTGAGTATAACAGTGAATATTCCAGACTGTAGAGAGTCCGGTTTCGGTGAAACTAGTTTGAAAGTAGATGATATCTTGATGAATACAAGCTTTGCACCTGAGTTGTGTCCTCAAGAAAACGATCCTTTGATAGAAGAAAGAGTCTATGAGTCTTTTCAAGGAACGCATCGTATTCGATTTCGAGGATATTTGGAAGAGAACTCCTTGGAACCTTTTTTTCAAGACGAAGCTCCTGCTTCCTTTCTAACTCAGGTCGGACAAGCTCGACCCCATGTTTTTCGTTCGTATGATAGTCCCGGTTTATATACTGTTACAGTATCTGCTGGTGTACACAAAGCCAGAGGACTGGTTATTGGCGGAGGTGGTGGAGGTGGTGCTGGAGGTTGTTCACTAGTGACCTCGTGTTCCGCTACCCCTGTTGGTGGAGGTGGTGGTGGTGCAGGTGGCACCGCTTTTGGAGACACAACTGTAGCGCCTGGAGATAAATTGAAAGTGTATGTTGGTAAAGGTGGAAGTGGTGGCAACCCAGGCTGTGGAGGAGGAGACGGAACGTTTTCGGGCTTTGTGAGGTTGTCTGGTGGCGGTGGTAGAGGTGGGAACCCTGGCAGTACAAGTGGTCCGGGTAGTGGCGGTACCGGTGGTGGTGCAAGTGGACGTACTGTAAAAGAGGGAGGTTCTGGAAGTAATGGAGCTGCTTCCCAAGGTGGTTCCGGTGGCAATCCATACGAGTACGAGTTGTATAACAATGGAGAAGGAGGCATAGGAGGAAGTTATTTTGGAGACGTTGGTCAACCTGGCAAAGCTGGTCTGGTTCACGTTATTTTTGACCCTTCTTCATCTGTCATGGATATAGAACATTTTCGGAAAGAGTATGAAAAACTTGCTCAACGCTGCGGTTTTTTTTCGATTATTGCAGGGGGTCTCTCACATTTATATGAGACTCCTGATGATTACACTAAAGCCTTCTCCAGTATATAGATGGACATCGGTGTTGTTTTGTGGTATATGGTTTGCTTCTTCCTCAAAATATTCGAGTGTTTGTTGTATGAGAAAGCTTTACGACTGCTAGGACTCTTTTTGTGGATCTACTCTGGACAGCACATAACGAGAATCTTTTATTGAGGACCTGAAACGAAAGTTTCGTGAAAGATATTATCATGGTAAAATAAGCACTTTTTCATCAGAAAACTGCGAACCCTTTGAGATTTGGCATAGTTATCTATATCTTTAATGAAATGCTTACCACATATTGCTAATCTGTTTTGCAACTCACAGTTACAAACTGTATTTTAAAAAGAACTTTTTTTGGCTTTGACTATGTCAAATTCAAAAGAAAATTCCTGCCATAAAGAACCTATTTGAATGAGAAAGTTTGGCTTTTGTATATTGATTATGCAGTATTTATATCGAGTTGAAAACTACGTTGACAGCACAAGTTATGTTATTGTCACTATGAGAAGGTTTCTAAATGCATCCGGCCATTTTTACGTAAGCTTTGACTACAATAGAAGAGTTCTTGAGCTTTTTGAAGTAGAATGAAAGAGCTTCATTTTATTTTGGCTCTTGAATACTTTCCCTGACCATCCACCAAAATTATTATGAGAAAGAAAAGTCAAAAACAAGTCTGATGTTACTTTGTGTTGGTTGAATGCATAGCAAAATTCCACAAATACTCGGGTATAATCAACAAAGTGTCTCATTTATGTTAATGAAGAAAAAACGGTCTGTTTGTAGTTTTAAGAAATTGAATTTTTCTAACGAAAAACTCACAAGTGACTTGTAAACAACTCCTTCTTCCTGTGTTCTTGCTACTTCCTAAGCTTTTATTTCAAGCTTGCAAGTTTCCACTTCATTCAAAACAGATTGGTAATGTTTAAACTGGAACTGCAATTTTTTCTCAATGGAGAGACAAGCAAGTTATTCCCATGAAATATTCAAATGTGCTTAGGATTGTAGCTGTTTCTTCAATCATTACGGAGAAGGAGTTTCCGTGGATGTTGACTGAAAAATCTATTTTTCATTTCATTCATTTTGAGTTGTCCGGATCTAACATACATCGCTTCTCGTGCAGAAGAGATATGTGCTGTACTTTACTTTTAATCAACTGAAGCAAAATTTTGTGAATAAGTTGATCTGATCCAATTTTGCTTTGAAAGCAGATGGGAATATATAGTCAAAGCTTCCAATATCATAAATAAGACAACTCTTGTCTATTTCATCACATTCCTTTTCAACAAGGAAAAACCTTCAACTATATCTAAAATTAACTGTCACATGCATAACACGCATCGGGAGCAAATACACATTTGTGAGCATGATGAACAGCAATCCAATCACTATGGATGGAACAGCCTGTTGAGAGTTTTCACAAATAACAACAAGATGAAAACAATTTGTTTGGTGACAAGAGAAAAATTCAAACTTGTCATATGCAAAAGATGTCCATTGAATATGCTCATCTGACTGTGGCATTTGTAAACTTTTTCATAATCGCTATACGCTCCTTGTCGACCACATTCAAGAAGGCAATTTAACTGCATTACCGAGTGATTCGCCAGAATTGAAGGCTTCCACTCATTGCAAATCATTCGGCACGTTGGACAGGCTGTATTTCCGACCTTGAGCGCAATCTCTACAGAAGACATTTCTACAATTCTCCAAACAACAAGAAGAAATTTGAATGCTATACCAAATAGCACAATTGAGATATTTTCTTCCAAATAACTCAATTTCTTTCTAACATCCTCTGGTTGGACATATTTGGTAAAAATAGCTGGCCATCTCAATGGATGGATAAATAGGGCAGCTTGAAAAATATGCTGCATATGCTTTCATCGATATTACATGTAGAGGATAAAAAGTAATGTGTCATCTTTCCATTCTGTGTCGCAGTGCATCAGAAAATATCGATTCGAGCAAGTAAAATCTTCCTAAAAATTCCCTTCTACTCCGTAATGATATCATGCTGTAGTTACCAGATACGTTCTATCATCTTCATTTGATGATAAGACGCTGAGAACATCAAGGTAAAATGTTTATATACCGTTAAAAATAACAAACTTCGAATTGTAGAGACTCCTTCGATAAGCTCTTTCGGTTGGAAAGAAAGTAACACGCAATTCATTCTGGTGACAGGTAGACGAAGATTAACGACAAACAGAGAATATATCGCAACAGGTTTCCAAGTTTTACAGATGGGCCAAGTTGATCTGAACTAGTAGTTTTCATTGAAGAATTACAAAAATTTTTAAGCGAGAGTTGAGCTTCGTCGTTGTGAGCTTAATTTATTCATTATACAAATGGTAACAGTAGAGAGCGTCATTCAAAATAAGCAGCTGTGGCTACAGAAATAAATTCCCTCAGGCTTGATAAAGTTATTTGACAAAGTCTCATAATATAACCCAATGTAGGAGACTTTTGAAAGTATTTGACTCTGTAAAACTTCTCAGATATTAAAACAAAATATTCCTAAATATTTTTGGAAAGAGATAAAACTATTTCTTGTAGGGTTGAAATGCCAATATTTCTCGAATGTGGATTATCCACAGATTTGAAAGCGTTCCTTAAATTCGATAAAACGTCTTTGCCAATAAAGTTTTCTACATCAGCTTCAGAAAGAATAACCAATTCACAGTTGTGAGGAATCACGAAATCTTCAACACTATCGCCAGATGAATAACAACGACTAGAATAATTCAAGTCCTCAGATACGTTGGTTGCTAACTGAGTACTCATAATAATCAACATACAATGCCATGTAGGATGACTAGTCAATACTTGATCATGCACTGGTTTTAAAAACTTGTGAGCTTCTTCCAAAATTTCATTCCATCTAATACCATTACGACTCCATCGGCCTTTACAAGCAATACCCACAATCATCAAGTTCTTCTCATTCGTTCTTCCATGCAACTTGAATAATATAT